CCTGGTGATCAACATTTCCGGAAAGTAGACGCGGAGCAATCCAGCCCTACCTGCGAGATCCCCGGTGCGAGCTCAGAGGGGGCGGAGGGGTCGGCGAAGCGGACCGAGGAGCGGGATCGTACTTCGCTCGTAGCAGAAACAGTAGCAGAGTGCGAGTTGATCGTGTGTATGTACGATATTGTGGTGCCCGTGAACGGACGCAAAAATGAAGTTAAGCAACAAGAATGGCAATGACAAGCGAAAGATCGTGGCAGCAGGAGGTCGCAAGTGCGTGTACGAGCAGCGCGCCAGGGTGGCTAAAGGCGAGATGCATCGCGTGTGACGTCACGCATCTGCGGAACACTCGCACGTCCTCGTCCCAAGTACGGACCGGCTAACACAAACACAATCCATACGCAAGCCAATGGATTACTCTATCCGAAAGGTAATGATTCAGAGGGGTGATGTTTCGTTCATGTAGAAGTGCTACAGTACCATACACATTGTCAAGCACAAACGTCTAGAATCAAAGAGATACATCCGAGTCGTCGGCATTGTCATCCATCTCAGAAGCCTGTACTTCTCCTGGTGTGAGCAAAACCTGTAGGGGTTGCTGCTGGATCGCCTGGGCAGCGGATAAACTGGGGTCACGTTGAATACCGGTATAGTCAAGTTGGAAACTGCCGACTGCGTCGGCGCTGATGGCTGGATCGGTATCGTGGAGGACGATGACACCCTGTAAGTTGAGAGACAGCGCGTCTTTCACCGTATTCGGGTTGATTCCGGGCTTCCGGCTCGTCAGGGAATATCTCCCAAGCGTGAAGAGAACTATGCAGGGCATGCCAACGATGACGTCGCTTTCCTGCAGGCGATCCAGTTTCACCAGACATGTTTTCCACTTCAAGGATTTGGTACGAGCGTCGAAGACAGGAACTAGGGAGCAGTCAGTTTGGCTCACCGTGGAGGAATCAGCAACATACCTTCCGCATTGCGCGCAAGAACGGGATTGAACGCCGGCGTCCTGTCTGTACGAGCTGCTCCGTGTTAGCCTTGACACACAGCAAGACAGACGGCAAGACAACGCACAGGTATTATGACGACCTGAAGAGAATGAGACTCCCGTGCGGTAGCTGCCCATAAATATGTACTTCTTGCCCAGTACACGCCTACATGTCGCCAATACCCGAGCAAAGTTGTCCTTGAAAGGCGCGAGGCACACTTGCTTCGCGAAGTTCTTTTCGCTGTCCCCCTCACGCCGTTGCAAGCCGTTGTGGGTAATAATACCGGCCATGAAGAGAAGAGCCGCCCGAGATCTATTCTTGGTGGTGGTGACTTGGCGCACGCCACGTGTGGGATTATATACCAGCGTATCAATAGGCTGGGACGCCAGGTTCAAAGCTCCCTCGTGCTTTCCTGGATCCTCGATGATCTTCAGGATGCGCCTGGAAAGAATTCAATGCAATGAAAGAGCGAACAGTCAAGTAGAATGTGCGTACTGTCGCCCGGCTTCGTCGCTTGGCAAAGCCCGTGATAAATCGGTCGTCAGAACCAATTTACCTTCGCCTCCTTCGCTAGTGACTGCGATGCATTCTCTGATACGATGGCGTAAGTATTGGTAGCGGCTGGAAAAGTTAATTGAGGCGTACTGCAAGACACTGGAGGTGTCAGATTCCTCCGGTGGATGGCCAGCGGGGGTAAATGAAGAGCCTGACGCTGCGTCGATTGGCTTACCCGATGAAGCGCTTGCCAGCGCTTCCGAAGGGACACTCCGCGGGGCGTTTGAGGAGCCACTTGCATGTGCATTCGCGGTTCCAGTGCCAGATGTAGTTGGAACAGCGGTTTGCAGAACATGGGCAGGCGCGTGCGTGGGCGGATCCATTGTCGTGCGGACTTGAGTGCTTGCACTGTTCGCAGGGATGCTCGGATCGGGAGTCGCGGCAACATCGGCCGTCCCACGCGAGCCAGCGCCGGTGTGCGCGCCTGGAGCGGCCTCTGAGACGCTGTCCGTAGTTGGGGTCGTCAAGGATTCCGCGGTCCTCCAGTCCTTCATTGCACCGCTCGATGAGGCACGCTGCCTACTATCGGCACTGGGGCCCGAGCTCGCGAGGGCGTCGACTTGCACATGTTCATAATCTTCATCGTCCTCTTCAATCGCACCACTCTTGGCTCTTTCGGCGCCCTCCGGCTCGCTCACGCCTTCGTCGTTGCCTTCGGACCCATCCTCGCTTTCCTCGTCGCCCTCCCCTGCTTCGACATCTACAAACCCTTCTTCCTCTTCCTCTTCCTCTCCCCCTTCATCCTTGGATTGCGAGCGTCCTTCATCGCCACTAGAAAGCAGGGCATTGGTACGCGCACATCACGATGATAGACACGAGCGAAATCACCTCTCAACGGGGTCCGGGACGATGAAACCGCCCAGATCGCTACCTGAGTCGCTTTCGGAGAGTTCTGAGAGCCTGAGATCGTCATCGCTGCAACTAGATGAGGAAAGTTCTACATTGAAGAGGTGATTAACGCACTGCGATACTTGGGCAACCTCGGAGCCATCGGGTGGGGGAGAGGAAGGAGCTACCACGTCGGTAGAGGAAGGACTGGATATCCGTTGTTTCTTCGCGGGTCCCCGAGCTCCTGCACGTTTCTTCCTAGGAGGCATCTGTGTAATGTTGGTCTGGAGAAGGGATGTGTTAGGTTGGAAGGGGTATAATATATATACGTTGAAGACGCACACATTATGAGCGGGAGCGCCCTTAGCGCAAGACGTATGGTGTCAGTGTGCAGTAGCGCTGGCGCGTCGTGAAGAGAGTGTACGCGTGGACTCAAGTCAGCAACCTTGCGTGTAAACTTCTATGGGCGACGCGCGTGGCACTGCACGACAGACGCCATCCTTGATCGCCATAGCGAGCCGACACGACGCGCGTTCCGTTGGTAGAAAAGAATATGCTATCATAGGGAGAATCGTCAGATTAGGTCAAGCACGCATGCATCCGAGCGGCGGGCGAGATAGCAGATCTGCCTCGCCGTCGCGAGTTGTCATCGCACATCGGTCGAGCTGGACACCAGAACTTCGAACACAAGACACGGCTATGACTCACTTTCTCAGGTTGCTGCCAACCATAGACGGTGTGATTGTGTACTGGCTAATGACAAGAATATCCGGTTGGATGTGTCACGTAGATGATGCGACATAACGCTTCACGTCAGACTCAGGGATCATGGCGATGGAGGGATGCGCCAAGATGAGCCAGCTAGGCGGACGCTCCGTAGCTCTCACGCTCCGCGCGCTGATCTCGCGTATCTTCTTTCGCTGAGACTCTTCACGCCCATGAACACCACATCGATATATAGAACACGCACAAACACTATGCATTCCAATGTACCAACTCCCCTTTTCAACCATGATCGACATCATCACCCGCGGTCTAGCCTACGTTCTCTATCTTTTGGGCATTGTCACGGTGGCCGCCGTCTGGGCGTTGTCTAGCTGCTGTCCAAGTCGGCCGGACATTCGCAGTCAGACGAACGAGGGCGTTCCGGCTGAGCGAGAGAACTCTACTCCTCAGCAAAGCGAATTGCCTTCAGGTAAGGTCCTTGCCGCGAACACGTCTCCGCACGCTTAAACAATAAACAGAACCTCTGCTTAACGCCAGCCCCGACCGATTTGTCCTTTTCCCCATCCGTTACCACGATGTACGCACACATATTATCACACCCGTAACCGTGCTCACCTGCCATGCGATATAGATCTGGGAGATGTATAAACACGCAGAGGCTAGCTTTTGGACGTCCGAAGAAGTCGACCTCTCAAAAAGATATCTCCCACTGGAATCACAGGCTGACCTCGGACGAGCGTTATTTCATCTCTCATGTCCTCGCCTTCTTTGCCGCTTCGGACGGGATCGTCAACGAAAACCTCGTCGAGCGCTTCGCGGCGGAAGTGCAGGTTCCCGAGGCACGCTGTTTCTACGGCTTCCAAATCGCCATGGAGAACATCCATTCGGAGACGTATTCCCTGCTCATCGACACCTTCGTGAAGGACCCACAAGAGCGTCATCATCTCTTCAATGCCATCGAGACAGTACCCTGCGTGCGGAAGAAAGCCGGCTGGGCTTTGCGATGGATCACGGACACAGCCGCACCATTCTCGGTCAGGCTTGTCGCGTTTGCAGCGGTGGAGGGCATCTTTTTTTCCGGTTCCTTCGCGGCAATCTTTTGGTTGAAGAAACGAGGCCTTATGCCTGGACTCTCGTTCTCCAACGAACTCATTTGCCGCGACGAAGGTCTCCATACTGACTTCGCGTGTCTACTATTCGACCATCTCGTGTCAAAGCCCGACGCTACCGTCATTACTCGCATCGTGACCGAGGCGGTCTCAATTGAACAAGAATTCCTTTCCGGTGAGCCGATATCGCACTCACCAGTAGCCTGACTGACTCCCGTTCAGAAGCGCTTCCTGTATCGCTCATCGGCATGAACGCGTTTTTGATGTGTCGTTACATCGAATTCGTCGCCGACCGGCTTCTCACGTCGTTGGGTTGTAACAAGTTCTACCGCACCCAGAACCCGTTCGACTTTATGGAGATGATATCGCTACAGGGCAAGACCAACTTCTTCGAGAAGAGGGTCTCTGAATATTCGAAGGCGGGCTTTGCTTCGGCGGCGACGCGCGACCAGCCCTTGTGAGATTCCGCTCTGAATGAACTCATCCTTCCGCTAACGACATCCTCAGCGTAACCACTGATGACTTCTAGAAGGACTATGACCACAGTCAGTCTGTACATCCCCACTCGTTGTCATTTAGAAAAAAAAAACTCCAAATATCCTTGTTCTCCTAGTTCTATGCAAACTTTGCCAGCGGAAGATCGCCCGCACGGTCACTGAGATGGCTAAGGGTCAATTAGCATCTATATACCTGAAAGATACCACTCGTGGCCCACCGGGCAGCTAAACATCTATCCTTCTGAAGGCTATCCATCCAGCCGATAACCGTCTTTTCTCATGACCGTCGACCCATGTGATCGCTTCGACGAATGGAGTCTCACAAACTCAATGATCCCATGGCAGTGGTAGTTCCCAACATTGTCGTTTTGCTTGATCTGTGGTCACGGTTTCATGATGTACGCGCGGAGGCTCCTGTGCGAGAATCCAATCAAGGTGGCTTCATCGTCTATACCTCTCGCGAATCTAGCTCCATGTTCCTTGCGTGCATCACGTATACAGATCGGACCCCTGTTACGCACTGGATGAACTTCGGGTTACGAGCGAGGATGCGATGACCCTCGGGGTCGTAACATTCATACCGCGGACCATTTACGACGGTGGGCGGTGGAGCGCGCCGGTGCGCGTAGCTGCGCCACTTCGGGCTGGCCTACCTCCAACAATGACCATTCTCCGGCCTGTATTAGGTGAAGGGAGTGTTGAACTACTATAAATGAACCGAGCATATGAACTCCTTTCAAACACTTATACTGTAATCCTTACCCTCACCCACATCATTGTACCCTAAGTATGGTAGCCAGCACCCAATATACACCCTCAGCAGGCGCTTCAGTCGAATCCCGCATTCGGGAACCCCGGAAACCCAATGGATGGTTGCAGAAGAATCAAACGATTCACGTATGCGACGAGCATGTTAAGATGGCCTATACGACCCTTCATGTAGGCATCACAAACAGCGACAACAACGGGAAATATACAGGGCAAGATACTGAATCGATAGCGCGTGTCCTACATATCGTAACGAGGAAGGCATTTCTGAACCTCCATGGCTTCATAAAAGGTCGCCTGCTTCTCGTGCTTCTTGCCCACATGGTCGACGACGTCCGCCAACTCGACAGCACGATGATTGCACGAAGCGCACACCAACACCTTTCTCATGACAACCTGTAAGGTGATCGGATGTGACGCGTCGGAAGGTTTCGAGATCATCATCTCGCGATCGGAGCCAGTCACCGCAAGACCATGCGGACGGGGTTGTTCGTTGCTATCTTCGACGACGGAATTGTTCGACGACGTGCTACCCGACGTCTGGGTGGCTGCAGAAACAGTAGTCAGCAGAGATACAGCACAACAAACTGAACTGGATTATCGCACATTGTTCCGCTTCAAGTGGAGAGGTTCGTCGTGCGTACGGCGAGCCTTGCCGGAGAGTCGCTGCTCTTCGCGCCGATGCCTCATTGACTAAGCAACAGGCATCAGCAACTGTGACAGTGGGGCAACGCATGTTCATTCACCGTTCGACACTCTTGATGGCGAAGATCCTGGAACTCGTTGGCCTGTATAGATAACACATGAAAATCTGACATCCACGGGGTTCAGAGGACGCAGACATACCAGGCAAGAAGGCGGACTGCTGGTGAGGCGGCGGATTTGAGGCAACTACACCGTCCACGCGCATGCCTGCAGTTTGATACATGAGTAAAGATCCAGTAGGTAAGCCAGTATAAGGGACACCCACCCTGCGTGCCATCATCTTCGCCAGTGATAAAAAGTGCTATATGCGATGTAGAAACAGCGTAGGATAGAGCAAGAAGCCTTACTCACGGGGAAGCGGGTTCTGCAGATGTGTTACGGAGTGTTGGTCACGGAAGACGCCGACGCAGACATCACAAAAGTACCTGCAGTTCTCGTCCTTCCGTACCTTCGCACATTCTTGATGACGCTGGATCTCGGTTAACAGGACACCCGGCACTATCATTATCGCAGGCGCACCCAAGGACGTTGGCAGCTGCGCGCACAGCATCTGATCCTGGGCCCGACCAAAGGTTTCCCGCAGGGACAGCCGTCGACGGTGGGGTTGACAGTCTGGCCTGATCCAACCGCGAGCGCGTTCTGCGAAACCTGCCCTTCCTCGACGGGGACAGGATGTACGACCTTCTCCGGCGTAGAGTGTTTCCAGTCGACGTCGGTTGTTGATGATCCGCCGCCGAGAGCGACAGCGTCTGTCGAAGGTGAGAACATAGAAAAGGCGGCGTCGGGTTGGGCAGAGGGCTGTTTCGCTACAGATGACACGAAGTTCGAACCCAATGGAAGTGGGAGGAGAGGCTGTCCCATGGCGCCGTTGCCCAGATTTATGGGCCACGTGATTGGCTGCGCCGGGTCAATGCCGGCCATCGACATGTTCAAGAAGTCGAATTCGCATGGCTGAGTGCAAGTTAACGCTAACCTTCTGTGTCGGCAGTTGTATGACACACCTGTCCAGCTGGTAGCGGCAATACCTGTTGTCTACGCTCATCGGCACTGCCGGTGCGAGGTTGACCACCAGGAGCCCTGCCAATTCCTTGAATTAGCATGTTCTCCCCGGCTGCCCTCTGGGAAGGATGGTTCTGAGAGTGAGATCAGCTAGGCCCGAGTTGACGTCAGATGAAAGGCCTACTGCATTGAGAAGATTACCCATCGGTGCATGCCCGGAGTACCAGTCGGGTACACGAGCCTGATTCATCGGCACGGCGGAAGATGCCCTCACAGAGTCGAGAGGTTGAAATACCTTCACGACGTTGAGAGACAATATAAATCATTCGTTTGCGCGACTGGAAGCGCTTACGTGCCATCCGCCTTTGATACCTTCCGTCGCAGGCCGCAGCTCATTAACGCTCGCAACGTCCATCAGTGCTAGAAGTCCTAATGACCCCATACGGAACCGTATTGCCCGTCTGAATTGACACACGTACTATCTTGGCGAGCATCTGGAACATCATTCATGAGTACAGAGATGCGAGATGTCGCGGACGACCGACGTGACGGGCAACAATGACGACAGAGCATAAGGAGCGCGCATGTGAGTGATGAAGTCTTGCCGGGGATGCGGCAATTCGCTTGACACTAACTTGAACGCCGACAGCCGCCTCCGAATCGCACGGAAGCGCGAGCTACATGTGCTAGTGGGGTACTGTGGAATGATGACAACGAATTTCTGCATGATGGCAGTATGACTCGTCCAAGGGTATACCAACGCCACCTTGTTTGTAGTGTGCGATGACACAAGACCGGTCGGGTCCACTAAAGATCTTCGCGTCACAAAGTGGCTGTCAACGCTGACGGCGAAGATGATTATACGACACCGCGCAGACCGTCTCAGTACAACGCGCACTTCAACATCATGGCGAATTCGTAGTACAAAAGCCTACTTGAAGTCAGCCCCCCTGGCAAAAAACTTGCATGGATTCAGAACGCAGCTCAAAAATCAAAGGAATACTGGACGATTCCTCCTGCGGTGCGTCTTCATCTCGTGCGAAGTCATCGCGAGAAGGTGACGCTTCTTCCACCCCAGTACAGGAGTATGTCCTCGCCGTAGACCGTTTGTTCACACAGGAGCCGGATGTCGAAGCGGTCATCCAACCCGTGCATCATTTTGCCGACGCGGACCGCAGCGCCGTCGCGCCGACTCTGGTAACCAGACCAGACCGGGGATTGATTCTTTTCACGCGGAGAAGCGCGACAGGGATGGTTGAGCAAGAATACTCCGATATCGGCTTCGTGCGAGACGTGCATATGTCACCGCTACAGAATCGTGAGTCTTTCGCCTCCGGCAGTACTTTTGATGATTCACGCTCGATAGGCCAGTACGCGTCGCCCGGAAGGATGTACTCGTCCCTTTCCATCGTCACACCGCCAGGTATAACGCACGCACAGCAGAGCAAACAAGGTCTGGTAAACCTATACCGCCGGATGTCCACCCAGTCTTCAAGTCGCATGTTCGCACCCCTGCCCGACAAGCATTGGACAAGAGACGCGCGGTTTTCTGACGCAGAAGAGCTATACTTGACCAATTACACGTTCACGCACAAGGACGCACACCAGGCGCAGATAGCTATCGGGCAAATAATTCCTGAAGGGCCATCCCCTAGTGCTGATCCGAGCGGTGGTATGCACAGGGTTCTCGCTCGCTGCGATCATCTCTGTTACACGACAGACAATCAGATCCACGTATCAGAGCACCCTCTGACGGTAGGTGCAGATGTGCCTAAAGGTCATGAGTACACCCTATTTCATGTCCGAAGTCGTACGATATCACTCATCATAGGCGTAGGACATCGCCCGAGCTCGGCGGCGACGCCATCGTTCCAGGGCAACTCGTCTACGTAACATTCAATCTCAGGGGCGTCCCAACGATGCAAAGGACCCCTCGCAACAGCAAGCCAAGGAAGGTCAAGGCCGTTGACCGTCTTCAGAGCCAAGAATACCACTTCAGGCCAATACTGAGGTCTGTAGCCATCCTATCCCGTAAAGGGCCATTCGTGAGATAACACTGTTCAAGTAATTCGGAACGCAACTGACGAAGGCATAGCTTCTGTCTGGCCAGCCAAGGCTGTCTCAGGTTACCGGTGTTGGCCCCAGCGCATCACCCATAACACTCGGCCCGCGACCCCGCAGTTCCAACCAAGCAATTGAGCTCGAGTTGAAGCGTCTGAAGATAGACGCGGATGGCTCTGAAGCAGACATCGCGGACCATGAGTAGAGCAGTTGTATACAGTTATCACAGTAAATTACCTTCTACCCCAACTCAGTTAACTTGCCTTGGAAGATTTGCATCGCGCGGCAGACTGTTACCACATAAGTACTCAGTTGTTGCACCGTTGTCGAGGTTTTATGGCGGGAATACGCCGAGACGCGTCGTGCGGAATCGTCCGGCCCGATATAAACGGGGAAAACACGTTGGAATCGGCGAGTCTTGCACGGAGCGCCGCACGAAGCATCCTAGCCGAAAGAATGGGAGACATGCTGGCGACGTATCATAAGCATATCCCACCAGGAAGCGTTTGAGGCGTCACGCAGAGTCAAAGCCCGGTCAACCCTCCACAAGCACAACGGGCGGCGGAACCGCGACGCACGAATGGAGAGCGGGCAACTGTGGATGGTATGTATTGCAGTGCACGCAGATTACAGTAGGATACACGGAATGGACCGTACATGGTGGAGTGATGGAAACGTGTGCAACGTCGAGCTGCGTGGAGGCAAAAGGTGCGGTCTCTCACGCGGTCGGTATCTCACGCGGCATTCCGACCTCCGCATCCGACCTTACGCTTTTCATACCCGCGATTGCCTGCAAGAAGCTATGTACTTGCGATACCTTGACCTAGACATGTCCGTAGATACCGGATTGCGTTCGCAACCCTCTATATTGTGGTCGTTCACGTATGGATACGTCTGCGTCGACCGTACGAATCGGCCTTGGTCCTGCACCCCGCGAGTCGGCGATTACACGAGCCAAAAACAGACTGAGATGCGAGTTGTAGAGCCCACAGGAACCCATACGCCTGGCTCCCAGCACTCAAGCACAACTCATCTTGTCCTCTTCGCACTTTCCACGGGAGAGAATATTGCACAACTCATCTGTCACGAGTGTGACGGCTGTATCTCGTGCGCAATCGACATTCAAGATGCGGCATACGTTCTTCTCGTGCCGAGCAGGGGATATGCATTGAAGGTAGACTTATACTATAGATTACAAGGAATAGATGGACCCCACTGCCTCTTGCGACCCATCAACCTTCTGAAAGACAGACTTCGGACGGTCAGTACTCGCCATGAACAGGGACAGAATACTCGCCATGGCAATCAGATGATCCTCGTCGAGTACAGCTGTGCTAAAGCGCGTAGGATATGACCGCATCGTAACCCGCAAGGGCCCAAGCGCACGTATATCATCAGCGAACGGGCTACCGGCCCTATGACGGGGATACGACCCCGTGACTAAACACGAGCGCGCCTCTCCAACAGGCGGCGTGGTGAGGCCTAGTAGCGAGAACCCAACTCGCGTACGGGATAGCTCCGTGTACACGTTATGTTCTCCTTCCTGCAATGCTCTCGCCGTCGTTTTGGGGTTAAAGTCCAGCACATAAACGCATGATGGACCGTCTAAATCTTCGTCACCGAAGACGAGGGGCGCAGAGCGAGCCAATCGATATCCTGAGATCGAGAGGGCGATGGTGTCGATGACGCCGTGATTGAACATGTAAGCGTACGCCGGTCCCCAATCCCTCCATGATGCTTCCGGTATCCCGCAAGACGTGTTCCAGCGCTTGTGTGCATCGCGCAATAAGTCCGGTATGCGGACAACAATGTCGAAAGCGTCGAGGAGCAAACCCCGTCTGACCCTAGCAGTCGCAATCGCAATGCCATCGCCTATGACCATGTCAACGAGCGCAACCTTGCGCATAGATCATCAGACACGCACCTGAAGAGCCAAGGATTTGGCGTCCCCACATAACCGGATCCGCGTATGTAAAGTCACTTCGAAGGGCGGGCAAATGGAAGCGTGCCACAATCGCGAGAGAATCCCGTCTAAGGAGCTCCTCGTCGAAGACAGACACCACTTCGAGGCAGCCGCGATTCGGGACAAAAACCAGTATGTCGTGGTCCGAGACAAATGTCGCGTCGCTCATGCCGTCGTTGTCAAAAAGACGTATCTAGAAGGGAAGGTTTTAACTCCGGCTTGCTCTTCTACGTGGATGAAAGGCCTCACCGTCCTAAATGCCCCGGTACGCCAGTTCATGACGTGCAGTCCACGATCAGAGTACGGAAACCGCTGGCGGCAATAGGTGCACACCATCCCCTCTCGGATAGAGAGCGAGTATTTGCTGTGACGCCATACACCTACACCCGCGTCGGAGCCACCCAGAAGAAGCGGTCCCACAGGTATCGCGCGGCGTTCTGCCTCGGGGTGTTTTGTACCGTCGCGTAAGGACAGTACCAGTATAAAGCAACCGTCCCTGTCGTTTCTATTAATTGTGCATCAGCTCCGATCTCTGGTCAGGTATAAAAGCACTACCCTTGCAAGCCGGCAGGGGGGAAAACCACAATGAGCAAGAGGTCCTGAGAAGGATCTATCGCATATGTGACGATGCGATCGAGAGGAGTACAGTCAAGCGTAAGTCGTTTTCGCTCAAGACCGTCTATCCCAGCCCAAGGACGGGGCAAGGACAGTGTCTCAAATACTGCAGGTGATCCAGCGTCTTCGGAAGCACCAGCCGAGCCGTTCAGCAGGAAGGACACGCAACCTCCACCTTTCACCATAAGCGGCGAACGGATGCCTGACATAGACAGGGCCGAGGTATGTTGCGTCGATAACGTTGCCCAAGCGAGCTCCCGTTGCGCCAGACGAGCGAGTTGGTCCGACGGGGAGAGAGAAGACCTGCCGACCGACCACAGGGACGCGTGACATATCATCTTCTCTATCGCGAGTCGAAGTCTGCTACTGTTTTTGACCAAGTTGCGAAATCGCCTGCATGTCTGTTGATGGGGAGCGGTCCTGTGAGGTCGCGATCAAAGGAAGAAGAAATTTAGGCGCGTACATTCTGGCACGACCAAATGTCGCGCGCGCAAAGGCACAACATGCACTCGGAGAGGATCTCAGTCGGAAGACCCCCCAGATTAGAATCCGGGGGGTGTAGAGCTGGAGCACCAGAGACCGGCATGGCGAACGTCGGGAGAAATCTGGGTCCCTTTTATCGACCGAAACCGAGTGAATATCAAGTCCCCGCGGGACGTCACGGTACATGCATGAAAGGCAGCCCACGAAAAGTTTCCAACGAAGTGTTGCAATGGTACGTTGCAAAACTTTGGCCAGGCATATTTGGCAGTAATGTCGACTACGTCAGCAGGTGTTGTTCGGTCAGCGCCGCCGACACATCGGGACGAATCAGACGATGACGCAAGGAGGATCAAGTGACCGGTCGGTATAGCCTGGCATAAACTTCATTAGTACATAGTCAGCCAACTGTCCGTCAGTACTTACTGCTCACTACGCAGGGCGGTCACGCATGGTGGTCGGTGCCAAGAGCGGTGCGCGCGATTGACGCCGACTCAGACCTCCCAGGCTTGTTTTCCGCGATCACGTCCTGCTGTCTCCTACCGTTCGTACCGCTGCCTCCGCCACTACACGCTTACTATGCACCTGCCGCAGGACTATGGGCTGCGTCTCACCATATTCCGGGCGACGCGCACCTTCCCCTATGCTTGACTGAGCCCTATACTCCCACCACTCCTGACGTCAGCCCACTGCGCAGTCATCGCGAACCCTGAGTTAGGGCATCGCCCAGGTTACATTCCGTCTTTTCTCGACGCTAGCTACTGTCTACGGCGATGCTCTCACTGCGCTCGAATCACACATATCCCATGTTCACAGGCAGCTCTTGATTACTTACTATTCGCGTATTGGCACTCACTACATGTCGTACATTCGCTACAGGCTGAATATCCAGTCTCAATCTTCCGAGTACATAATTGTCATGCCTCGTCTACATCGTATACATCGTCCCACGCGCTGTGTCCGACCCGTTCGCCATGAACTGTACAGACTGCGCAGGCGTGAGCAAGGATGTCCAAGGTCTAGGCATACAGACCGCTCACCTCGAGGCAAAAGAGATGATCTTCATCTATATGGACCCTCATAAAGCGCGTGTCGTAAGCCCTAATCGTAATCCTGTAGGGCAAGCGACAGCGTATGGTGGCTCGAAAGGGGCACTGAATGGAGCCATGTACGGAGCCAGCCACCAATTGTGTGTGCATCTCGCCCACGGGAGGTATTGATTCCGCCGTGTCATACAATCCACCGTTCCGTCTGCAGCATAGTGCGCCCGCAGGTCCGACTGGAAGGGTTACACTCGCCGAGGCGCCTTCCTGATCCAAGGAACGGCCTATCGTCCGCGGATTGAAGTCATATAGATAAACGGCCGAGCCCTTGCCAACGCCGGGCAGCGACATCGAGCAGGCCATGCGATAGCCACAAATGGCAAGGCACGATGTGGGGCTGCTACCACGGTGAATTATCTGCACAGAAGTCGTGCCCCAACCTTCCCAAAGGATGTCAAGCGGACCCGCCATCCTTGGTTCAGGTGATCGAGACTCTTGACCGCGCCAAACCCGCATGAAGTCAGAGATACGAACGACGAAATCGAGCGCATGCAATGTATCCAAAAAGCTTGTACAAACCCTCAGGGATGCCACAAACAGTACGGGTTGCGCTGTGCCTGTTGAATCTGAGTCGTGGACACGTATGAGAACTGCCGGGACTTACCTGACGATTTCACGATCGGGCGATCCCACATCGGCGGATGTGTATAGCGAAGGCCCCGTCTCAGAAGGGGCAAATGAAAACGTGCAGCGATGCGCACGTCATTGGCACTGTCTAGCGACAGATCATCCACCGCTACAACCTCCAAGGTGCCATTACTTGGCAGAAATACGACGATCTCCCGTTCAGAGACAAACGTCGCATCGGCTATCGCCCCACCGAACGGTCTAATCTAAGAAAAGAAAGGGAAATCAGCGCTGAAGTGAGGTGAAGCTGATGATGGCATACTGTCTGCGCAGTACCAGTCACCCAATTGTAGATGTGGAGTCCGGGATCGCTGAGCGCATGTATGTGGCGACCATACACAGCCAGGAGCGGACCTCGAACCAAGATGATGCACTTGTTCTGGCGACCACTGTCTATGTGCCAGTTGATACGACCAAGCTGGAGTCTTTCGGCCGAGATCAACGGTTCCATCGCTCTTGGATGCGTCTCGTCTTCGTCGAGCGACAGCGGCAACAAGAAGAACGCATCCGATCTCCGTCTTCCCATGCGTAAGTAGGGTCCATGCACAGAATACGAGTGTCACTCACTCCCAACCCGGCAAGGAGGCACCTCGTTGACCGTAAACCAACACGATCAAGAGGTTCTGCGTGGGGTCCGTAACGAAGGCGACGACATTCTTAGCAAGAATGTCATGCAGAGGGAAGGACTTGTACTCTGGCTCGTCCGCGCCAATCCAGGGTCGAGGTGATATGCAAGTCTTGAGTGCTGCAAGCGCAACGCTATTGCCGGCGGGGGTGGGGACACGGATATCGCTTCCAACTACGGCAGTTATGATGCCCTTTCCGGAGAAAGTTAAAGCGGATCTTAGGCCTTCCATCGTCACAACGTGCGTATGGGCTATCGACAACGAGGCCCAGGCAGATTCCCTTTCCCGGAGACGTTGCAGCTGTTCAGCAGCAGGGCTGAGAGGATCTGTTGATGTCGAAGATGCATGCGTTATCATCTTTTCGATGGCGAGACGGAGGCCTTTGGTATCCCTGACGAGGTAGAACAAACCGCTACACGTCTAGTCCAGGAATCAGACTCCGGACCACGTATAAGTCTTCTAGACGTACATGCATACATGACCAGAGGTCTCCAGCGCACAGATAGTTTAGACAGTCGACTATGAGTTCCAGGGGCAGTCTCCATAGCTGTGACGGGCATGAAGGCCGCTGGAAAGCGTCTGTGATAGCTAGATGGGACATGTCACACTCGACCGCCAATCACCCCAACTTCTCACCTTTAAGAGTCTTCGATCATAATACTCCGCACAATAAGTCGCTGGTCAGCACCTTGGATCTATGCCATGCTATGACTACACGTGAGTCGAGACAGCTTCAACAGCGCGATACGCAGTACGTCAGAACCTATACCTCATCATAGACTGCCATCACTCATTCGCTCGCTGACGCCTCATCATAGATGATCATTGAGGACGCGTACGCCCGGTCGGTCTACGGCACAATGTGGTATCTCGCCCATACGCTCATGGCGTTGACAGCGTTGCGTGAAGATCGGGGTTGTGGTCAACTCCCTCTGACTACACGCGCGCGCGGCGCGATGGCTGCCGAGTTCAGGCACAAATTCGCACACACTTGCCTGTCTGCCTTGCTCCCCCCTCCATGTCCGCCTCAATCATGCGCGTCCTTCCCACCCATGACTGCTCTCGCCGACGCGAGTCCGTTGCATGACCGTTGCATGACCTCCACACATGAAGCTAACGCGAGGTACACTCTACTGTTCGACTCTCAATTATGACCCATCTCTGACTCTATTCCAGCCCCGGATATCGCATACTCGCCCGGAATATTTCTCAGGTACGCAGGAACCATGCACATGAAGCTTTATCATCTAACTCACGCATACCCGTCAGATCAGTGCCGGACAAACAACACGGCATCGAGGCGTTTGCCAGTCCGGATACCCCTGCTTCGCCCGGACGCTCTCTACAAGCAATCGGAATTGGGAGACGAGTAGCTGGATCCAGATGACCTCACATACGCGATTACGCTTTCTTGGTGCGTAGAAGCTGTGCTCACTCCTTTCGCACTTAACTCAACTATTGTATAGACGGTGGGAGTCGGCCGTGGAGGGGCACACGGTGCATTACAGTTGCATGAACCACGGCCGCGTTTGGGCCGTCACGACATGTAGTTACCTACGCATCGTGCTGCGACATATCAATTTAGTCCGTACGATTATCGAGATCCACTCCCTGTAACCGCATAACGCTGTAGTACAATGTCTACGTCGGGACTAGAACACAACTACTCATCCGCCACGCCAAGCGAATCCAGAATATGCTGTGACCTTCTCACTAGTTGTGCGACTCGTTATATGTTGTCGCCCTTACAATGGTGAACCATACACCGGTCTCTGTTATAAAGAACTCTGTGGCTCGGGCGTCTTTGGAGCAGGAAGACGTTCGAGTCACCGTATCCGGACGTTTGCCGTTCAAGGAAAGCAGTCGCTCACAAAGCTTTTCCCATAGATACATTGCAAATCCTTCGTTGCTGCGTTTGCTAATGCCAAATTGTTTTCTTACTCGAGTCCAGTACGGATAGCGTGGGAATGTAAAGTGAGGATTCAACATCATTTGCACAGACAACCATCCTACATCGTACACATATACGCACATACCGACCTACATAGAGTACAGATTCACTTCTACTTCATCACCTAGTACAGGACGCGCCTGCCACGGTGATATGCATCAGTGCAGTCGGCACGGCTCAGGAAAGCGGCTCATACCTTAGTGATCAACGCATCATCCTCAAGCTGAACCCAGGTAAACAGCTCCTTGTATGTCCGGCTGACTACCCGATAGGGCATCGGACAGTACACCGTCTGGCTGAAAGGCGAATCTTCAGGAGTCTTCAGGAAAGGGGAGGTGACTATGCGCGTCTTGGACGACCCGACCAGAGGGAACAGCGAAGAGCGCGGATACGACCTCGTCCTCGGGCGTATGTCCTCCTCCTCTTCCTCCTCCTCGCTATCGTCGTGACCGGTGCTGTCATCGTCTTCGTTATCATCATCGCCGTCTCCGGAATCGAATAGCGAGCGCAAAGAGACTCGGGACTCGCTCGCCAAATCAGAGGAAGATCCGTCGTTGTCGCAGTCGGTACACATATCCAAGGCACGTCGCGTCATCATCGGGTTGAAATCGTACATATGTACGCATGTTGCACCGTGCATCGAGTCCTCAACCGAGAATATCGGTATTGAACGGGCTGTACGGTATCCCGAGATGGACATTGTGACGCTGTCACAGATATGCGCGTCGAAGAATCGGGCGTAATAGGGGCCCCATACGGACCAGGGAATCAACAGAGTCGTCGTTGGGTCATCGTGTCCAAACGCCGTCCGAAGAAGTGGCGGGATCTGAATGACAAGGTCAAACGAAGAGACCATCGGACCCGCGTTCTCGAAGTTCACTAGCTTCACCATGACCAAGACTACACCGTCACCTACTTTCTCAATTATTATCTCGATATCAACAGAGTTCGGATAGACGCGTACCACTGGAACCCATGACGGGGCGAGTTGCGAAGATCGAATGCGCATAACGGTACTCGTCCTTGAGATCTGGTAGACAGAAGAGGGCGCGTTCGCGTAAAGGAGCTTCGCCCTCCAGGCTCATGTCATCGATTGAGAAAAACTTGAAGCCCTCCTCAATGACTTGCAGTACCAGTATTGCGTTATCAGCCACAAAAACTGCATCGAAGACATGATGAGCGCCGAGCGCTACCTCCATCTATTGACGAATACTCAGCTCTGGCAGGCAAAGCCTCAGAACTGAACTGACCTTCGTTGATGCGCCAGTCTGCCAATTAAAGACGTAGATCATATTGCCCTCGCGAACAAGGTCCACGTCTCTTCCGTAGATGAGGATGAGGGGCCCTCGGATATGAATGATGTAGTCGCCGTGCGGCCCGTCTTCGAAGTCCCAAGGGATCGTGTACCTCCCCAGACGTCCAAGGACAACGCTTTCGTGTGCTGCTAGCGAGTGCTTGCGACCGTCACGCGTTGACAACATGCGCATCTCGAAATCCTCTTCCTTTGTCCTGAAACGCGAGTCTTAGCTTCGACGGTCACCCAAGACTTTGATATGCACGAACCAATGTGCTCCGTCCTCACCAACATGAACCAGCATCACCAGCAGATCTTGCGAAACATCCACTTTGAACGCCACGACGCGCCTGAAGTCCAGATCCTCGAACATTAGATGGTTTTTGACAGCGTGGCGAGGTCCGCTCAGGAGCTGAAGTTCCGTATGTCGCCTAAATGTGTCGCCCGTAGCCGTATCCGCAGCTCGAAGCGTCGTGAGTACGTTACCACCACCCAGGTGGTCCGACGCCACGGGGAAGTCGTGGTTGAAAGTCGCGCGTCCCTCGGGTGCCAGTCGCAACCAGGCGGCCTCGCGTTGCCTCAATCGCTCCAGGCAGTCAGAACTCGTGTGCTCAGCATCGGGGACTATGGATGAGCAATGGAAGGCCATCTTCTCGATCTCCAACTCGAGCTCGACGCAGTCGAGTGCCACGGACCGCAACGCGGTACATGTCTAGGAAGTGTGCGTCAGCATACACCGAAAGATCGTTCAACGCGTCGACCTTACCCAAATGCATCGCAAAAGGTCGCGCGGGCCCAGATGGAGAAGAATCTCGCAGATAACCTCCAAAGGTAACGAGAGAAACTTCGATGTACAAGCAGGACGTTTGCGCTTCTGGCTGAATCTAGGAAAGATGCAACCATCATTGAGCTCCAGCATGTTAAGCGCGGAACGCGTATGGTCGAAGACAGAGTACTTAATATTGCAATCTGCACTGACGGTAGCATACTGAGCTATTTCAATATAGCGGAAGTCTAGATGCAGTCATTCCACCGAAGTCAGCACGCACTTTGCACCACATCACCTTATCTCGCTCTGTCCTACATGAACGCACTGGTAGTGACTACGTTCAATGATGCGCCGGCGCCTATTACACCCGTACAATGTATGACGAGAAGAACTCAGCGTACTCTGTAATTTTCCGTGCGATATAGAACCATGGCCGTTCCGGAGTAAGCAAGCGACGCGCGTTCTCGCGCCGGCACGCGCTGCCCTTCCACCATCAATTGATGCAACACTAGGCCAATTGAAGTACACGGCTTTGTTCTCACGACTACATGCACGAGCGTCGTCAGCACATCGGTTCGGACACACAGACATCAATATCTAGGGCTTGGGAGCAGTCCATTGAGATTATTCCATACTATTTCACCAATACAGGGACGCGGAGGGGAGCCCAAGTCTACATAGTGTATACACTTCCCACAGCTTCCTGCTCGCCGTCTTCCGAACGCCAAAGTGTCTGGAACGACAGTCATCAATTTGATCGATAGGCTCCTAGAAATAAGACTCACCATGCCGACTAGGCTATCCTCCACTAGTTAAGCGGTCGTGAACCGCTTATCGTACGTCCTTGCTGTCAGTCGGTAGGGCATGCTACAGTACACATCGTCTCGAAAAGGAGACGACGAAGCCTGCATAGACGGCGTTGTCACGATGCGTGTGATATAGCATCCTGGCGCTGGCACTGTAATTTCGTCCTCGCGCGTCCCGGCCCGTGGATATGATCCTCTGCTAGCGTCTTCCTCCAGATCGGCGACACCGCCACTGTGACTCCGCGGTTTCTCTGTAGCATCCCTCATCGGCTGAGGCGTATACTCCCCTCCACAGACCAAAGCTCTGGCTGCCGTATACGGATTGAAGTCGTACACCAGCACACAAGTTCGAGTGCCTTGTGCCCCATCGTTCCGGTCATGAAGTGTTCTAGAGCGAGCCACGCGGTAACCCGAGATAGATTGCCACAGATGGTCACAGACCTGCGTGTTGAAGACCCGGGCGTATACGTTTCCCCAACTAGACCAGGGAATACGTGGAGGATGACCGTCGGTGGCGGCGCTGTAGATGGCGTCCAGCATCGGACGGATGCGAACAACAACGTTCAGTTTGTCACTAGTCTCCCCTCCCACTCCACCACTTGTCTGCGAGGTTAAGACTCTCAGCTCCATCACGACGACCCCATCACCTAGTACACTGTCAGCCCAGTAACAGAACAACCTAGACGGATATACGCGCCTTTCAATCCGAGGACCGGAGAGGAAGATTCACCGACATGCATGTACGTAAAGCCGATTCTGAGGCGAGGCCAGTCAAAGTATGCGCGCGGAAGAAGCGCAGTCGCCGACCCCAGTGTCACGTCCTCAACGGAAATGGCTAGAAGCGCCTCGTTTGAGATGCTGTATAGGAGTATGTCATGGTCGGAGATGAAGGTAGCGTCGTATGCGTGGAGGTCCCCACCACCGACCTGGTGCTGCATGATTTAGACCAACTTCAAACGAGCGTAACTTGAGAGCATACCACACGAGAAGATCCCAGGTGCCAATTGCATACGCGAAGATGACCGTCACAAAGCCCAGAACCAGTGCGGGGATACATCATGATCAATTGTCCGCGAATCTGCAAGCTGAACACATCATTTGAGGCGCCAATGTGCTCCCAAATCATGAGATCGAGGTGGAAGTCTTGCAGAGACATCGACGGTCTCTCGGCCAAGGGATGGGATCCACCGTGTTCGATTGAAAGAAACCAGGCTTCAAAGTCCTCTGCGTGAGCCGGACTACAAGAGGCGTTAGCACTCCGACCGCTGTCACGAATACATGACCCACCCCATCATGCCACGTGTCATGTCTTCGCCCACGTACACGACAAGTACCAGAAGGTCCTGTTCTGGGTCGATTGAGAACGCGAAAACGAATCTTTTGTCGCCTGTCGGATACGCAAGGGCATGACCCGATGCTGGCACTGGCGAACGCGTCGACGACGGGAGGCTGAAGATATGGAAGGTGCTGGGGAGTGATATCCCATCCCTGACGTCGTCTTCCGCGGGATCCTCCATAATCGCGACTGTGTCTTTGTGCGCAACACATATAGGTAAGTTCGCTCCAGAGACACCGAAAACTGCATATCGATCGCAGGCAAGCTCAGACCACCGCAACTCTCGTCGCTTCACTTGCGACAGCACGTCCACCCAAGACTTAGATGAACCCGCCTCCTGCGGCAGAGACTTGTGGCAAACCATGCTCTCTATGATGCAATTCAGCTCCGATGAGCTCTCGACTACGTGGAAAAGTCTTCGGCAGACCTATCGAATCGGTCATGATACAGTATCCGAGAGTTGAGCTGATGACATACATGTTTACATGAAACAAGCTCCCGACCGTGTAGTAGTCGCAGGCAGCTGAGGAGGACTTCCGGAGGGCAGAGTAGTAGCCTGGACCCATCGTTCGAGTTACTCGTGGGGACCATAGCGCAGGAAGGTGGCGGGTGAGTCTTTGCGGTACGAATCAGTGGGCCATAGATGATTTGAACGGTGTCTGGACATCGCGTGTCCGCGGAGGACGCTTCTGTAGCCATCTAAACGCAAACCGAGCTTGAGCAAACGTTTACGATGTCAAAAACACGCACACTCACTTCTCGTGATGACCATGACGATGACAGCGGAATCAAAGAACGAGGCAGACTGCGTAATTGCGATTGACTAGTCGATGCTTGGGACAGACTGATCAGATCGCTAGCACGATCACATGAGTAAGCGAACTCACCACCAGGTTTGATACCTCGCTTTTCCAAGTAAGGCTTGCCGTTACTAGCCTTGCAACTGCTCATGCATGATTGTCAGCAGGAAACCCCACGCAGACGCGAACTCTCCCGACTCAGACGCTGAGAGCAGACATAAAAGGCACACCGTACCAATAGGCCGAAACTAGTATCCTTAGCTGTCATCATGAGGATCCAGCACACGCGTGCCGCGAGGCACGGCGCACACAGATACGCTCTCATGATCTGGGCAACCACGGGCGACGAAGGCTCTAGCACAGCCGTAAGCAAAGTGGTTTCAACTGAGCTTCAAACACTCACTACTTGTAGGAGAATATCAAGCCCTCAGAGGCCTCGCAGCAGCCGGAAGACGAGCGTATCCGTATAGCCTTTGCCTATAAGCCCCACTGGTCTCCACCATCCTTTGAGCACAAAACCGGCTGGTTGTACCCGACAACGGGGATGAAGCACCGTGTATACGCTCTTGCATGTACCCTGTCGGTAACCTTTGCGGCTGTCGGCATTTCGAGGGGCCAAAGAGTACCTCCGTAGAAATAAATACGACCACAGTATGCTTGTCCATCTTGAAAACCTGTTATGCACACGGTGCAGTAGGGCAGCGTGGGTAACACCCAAAACGCTTTCGCAGTGTGACGTTGATCTATTCCGCGGATATCACTACAAGGAGATTGCATGTACCACAGCAGTGAGTACGACAAAGAAAGGTTCATAGATATGTACAATACAGAGTCGTGGCACAGTCATTCCTAGCAGCGCGGATTCTGGGGGAGGGGGACTTCGCGTAGCGTGGAGCGGAACGGCGGCGAATAAAGAGCGAGACTCGACTGCGGAGTACATCAGTTCGTTCGCGTCGTCAAGGTTAAAGTAGGGATGTACTAGGAACGCGGTCAATGAACCGGCCTTCCAGCGATATGAGACCGGCGGAATAGTATGCCTCGTCGTTGACACTGTGTCCCATCACACCGTCAACCACGAGCTAAAACGAAGATAGAGATTGTACGCACCAAAGTCCCAACACCGCTCCATCCCCCGATATCTCCAAGCTCGCATCTACATTTCCATCTCGTTGTCTGTCCTCGCTTCTGCGCATACGGTCATGGAAGTTCGAGACAACAAGGAGTTCCCCCGATGTTGCCCCGATGACGCGACATGCGCGCATGCGCATCAGTCTCCAAGCTTGCCACCGCCACCCACGCTCTGACGTCCTCTCACCACCACCTCTCCTTCCCGACCTAGACCCCAATGACAACAGACAACTCAGCTGACGCTGTCTTACATCCATACAATACCTACCCGATTCGTGACATAGTGGCCTCATGTAAGTCATCCAGCCTCTTCAACTCGTTGCGATCGGCGTGACCAAGTGCCAGCAGGTCAAATTTAGCCTTTGGACAAACACGGAGTAGTGCGAGACCTTGCATTGTCCTTACCCGAGACAACATCACATATAAACTTTGCAGCTTCTTGCACCCCGCTATGTCGACTACTGCCCAATCCAAAGACCTTTCCTGGCTCTTGTAGTCCGTGTACGAATATCCTGGCACAATAGGTAATTGAAGCCTAGATAATCTCACACCCTTTACTGACTTATCGGCTCCCTTGGCCCGATACGTGTACGATTTCGACACAGGATAAATTGGAACCACGTCCCGAGGAAGGCCTTCTAGATCCATCCCACTCTTCGGTATGTGAACATACGCGCACACTGCAACATCATGTCCATGCTCATTCTTCTCAGTTTCTACGTGCAATAATGTACCTTCGCTCCCGTTCACCGTGCTATGTAGCATATCAGTATTTTCCTGAATCATGACCTTCATGCCTGGAATGCACGGCAAGACACCGACCAGATCCCCCGTCCGCCCGGTCGACAAGTTCAGGAGCCGGCGCTGTATGTCCTCCCGTACCAATGTCCCTCCAATCCTATCCTGGGACAGAAGATACTTGACTTTCAAACCGTTCTCCCTTGCAAGGGTTTTGACGATCTTCATGTTCACTGCTTCTCGAATTTGCTTATCCGCCACTATCACAGGAGCATACTTGAACGCCAAAGCCTCCTCAGGATTCCGGCGGCTGATTGCGGTCAATGTTCGAGAATGGAGAATCCTGTAATCTGTCTGCTCACCATTCCGCGTCACCACCTTGTTCGGCTTACCAACGCGAATGCGGCCAATGAGATTCGCGTAAGCTGGATCAGACGCCGACCTCATGTTTGTCTTCAGACAGACTACATCTCTTACTTGCCGCCAAAGATACGCCCCATACAATTCAGTTTGGCCCTGCTCGGTCTGACCCTGATTCTTCTCGATGGTCTCGACCAGGCTATGGTGATACAACGACCTGACCTTCACAGGCGGTAGTTGACCGAAATCACCCGTGAAGATGATATTCAAGCCGCCAAAGGGCAGATCCTTCCTGCCGAGAGCCTGTCCCAGTCGCTGCGACACTTGGGCGAGGAAACCCGCAGAGAGCATCGACACTTCATCAATGATCAGGTATCGTACTCCTCTCCACAGTTCCCGCAATTCTTGTGCTCGTTTGAACCCCGTTCCCCTGCCCTGTGGCAAGAAAGTCAGTGCATGAATCGTATGGCCGCCTATCAAGATGGCTGCAGCTCCAGTCGGGGCACTCAGCCGTATCTTGCTCGTGAGTTCGCATCGCCTGAAGAACTCGCGGACAGTATTGATAACATGACTTTTCCCAGTGCCACCTACTCCGGATATATGAAAGAGCAACTGCCGAGTACTTTGCGATATGAAATGCTCACAAATCATCCGCACTGCCGCTTCCTGCTCTTTGTTATCCTCCCGTCCTTCGACACCAACTATCTCTGCGTCTTCAAGAACTTCTTCGAGGATGCTCCACCTGCGCACGGGCGAAGTAAGAGGCAATGCTCGCAGCTCCTCTTTAGACGCATAAGTATACCTCTCGTTGAATGCATACATCTTCGACGTTTTAGCTCGACGCGTAGGATACACGAATTCCTCGCTAGTGCCCGCGATGGGAAGCCGGCTTGAAGTCTCAGTATCATTCGGTCTTTTATTCTTCTTCAGGGCCGCCATGATCTTCTCATGTTTCATAGCAAGATCTGGCGAAGGCACACTGAACGTGGAAGACCCGCTGTTCGGTGTTACAGTGCTGTCAACGTTAGCGCCGATATCTGCATCCGAGAGTGCTATACCGGCGCGCTCGAGGTTCCGTATACAATCTTGGATGCGCAACTGAGTTCCGTTCAGTAGAGCAATCGGTTCGTCTTGTTCTACACCTTCGAGAGAAGAATCTGATGCCGGCAAGCAGTACACATTTGTATTCGTATCATCGGCTAGTGCTGACAAGAGCTCGAGGTCCGTTCCACATTCGTTCTTGATAACACCATCCGAACCTGCGAGAAGAGGCTCCACATCTCCGGCCCTGCGAGCGATCTCATACCTCTGCTTTGCGTCCTTGCACTCGCTCTCAACATCAATGTTTCCCATGATGATCCGCTGTTCGAGACTGAAGTTACATCTCTCATAAGCCTCTCTCCAAGTCGCGCTACCGCCCCGCATATCTTCGAATGTGCGCCAAGGCTTGAATAAGACCACCATCGCACGATACCACCGCTCATCCTCAGCTGGCGATCTACCCTTCCGAGGCAATGTCGGACCCAACACGACGGGCGTTAAGGGAACAATGCGGAGACGACACACGTGCGTCTTGGACCGTGGATGGTCTTGCAAGAACTTGTCGCGCTTCGCGGGTTTCCGACCCCTGCGCTTCTGTTTACCTGCTTCCTCATGAGCATCCAACTTCTTCAGCCTTTCTTTCTCCGACTCCATCGTTATACACTCGACGGAGGATACGTACTCCCACACTGACAGTTGCTCAAACTCTTTTGATCCTCCTCTCAGACGATAATCCAAGAGGAGATTGCTTGCTGTCATGCCTTTCTGATCTATCTTCACCGTCACATTCGGACGCTCGTCTTCGTCTAGTTGCGACAGCAACTTGTTCATCACTTCGCCGCGTTCGTGAGTGCTCATCCTGGGCTCGTCTCCGCCATCTCCCAAGAGCTCTTCGCCATCATCTTCTACGGTGTCTTCGCCCGCCTTCGTAGTCTCAAGTTCCGATGCTACTCTTTTTGATAACTGTCGGTCCTCCGCTTCTTCCGCACGCTCAAGCGTATCAACGATATCTCCGACATCATCTTCCACCGGTTCACGCGCCTCCTTGGGAAACAGACCCCTCTCCTGTTCTTCCAGCCGCACAAACCTGTCTAACATCCCCCAGTTCAGGTTCCTGAAAGTATGGCTCGAATAATGATCACCCCCACCAACGAGGTAACTCATGACTTGTGCGTAAGATAGCTCGATCTTACCCATGATGCCATTGATGATCTTGGTCAATAGGCTTCGGCGGAAACGTTGCCGGTCATCAATCTCGCCCACCTGCTTCCGCGTCTTGTGAATTGCAGTACAAACGGCGGCTAGGGCGGCATGTGTCGGAAGAGATGGCTTCGTGATGTAGTCGGTGATGTAGTAACTCAACGCCTTTGCGGCCTCCCCAGATCCGACATACTTGATGTCCATGTTACATCTCAGTAAGTACAGCATGACATCGTTGTAGTTATTAATCCAGGGATGCAACCTACGCAGCATGATTGACTCAGTCTCCGGGTCCAGTGCGGTGGCCTCCCGAACGGCTCCAGTGTGCCGCATCCGACAATGAGCGCTATCCCGCGGTTGCTTCGGCTTAAGATGCTTCCAACAGGTCTCCGTGTGTTCATGCCAGTTGCAAGATACTGCAAGAGATCGTACAGCATCTGTGAAATTAGATTCGAAGATAGCTTCGGACTCTGCGCTATCTTCAAACTCCCTCAACAAGGGGACCGGCCATATGCGAGGGTCACCCGCGCTTTCCGTCTGAGGCTTTTTCAACTTCTCCGCGTCTCCTTTGAAAACCCTTTCGTCGTCAGGGAGCTCACATCGTATGATATCTTCCAACCACTTGAACATGCGCGTCCGGAACTGATCATTCGAATTCATTCGATCCCTCAATCTTTGTGGGTTGGGGTTGCCCTCGAGCCACAATACCATGTGAAGATGCAGAGTTCCTCTCCCTTGAGCTTCGACAGTCCCATAATAAGCCGTACAGCGGCCAAACAAACCCGGACGAGGATCACCGAACCTGACAATCTTCTCAAGAAACCCTTTGACCATGATGTCGAAGAATCTCGCTGCAGCTTCAGGATTCTTAGCCACGAACCGACCGCGCTCATATGGATCGAGACTCGCCCAAACCTTTGGATCTCCACCTCCAAGTAGATATAACAGGCTTGAATGGATATCTGATGGTGCAAAGGTAACGAACAATGCCGGCGTGCCATGGGTCTTCATCAGTCCTCGAACTTCGTTCCGCATCTTGAGCTTAGAAGCATTCGAGCCCGGAAGGTCATGCAATATGGCTTTCAGTTTGTTTAGCATGGAAAGCAACTTACGCTCGTGCGGATCACTGGCCTGAGCAAACGGGTTCTTCAACCATTTTTGCGCCATGTCTTCGAGGGCGTCTGCGGATCGTACCACTTCCTCTACCAGCTCCTTATAGAGATCGCTCTTGATACTGAACTGCGTCGCCCTTGAGTTCTCCATCTTCTGCACTATGTTCCAGCAGATGTACGCGAAGTTCGGGTCTCGAGCAAACGGAGAGTCGTATTGATTCAGCAGATTCTTCACTTGGCGAGATAACGATATCCGCTGCTTGGCGGATCTACGAGGATTATTGAACCCCCCAATACCCCATGGGTCCAGATGGGGAAACACGTATGTTAGCATACGAGGATCTCGCTCTGGAAACAGACGTGTGTCACTCGCGACTCCCAGGAAAGGCCGTCGTCGTCTGCACCACTCCTGAGCAACTGTCAAAGCAGGTTCACTTGTGGTACAAGTCTGCGTATCGTCTGAGAATCCCACAGCATCTATGAGAAGATCCTCCAATCGTATGCCAGGTTCGGGCTTCAACTCATCTGCTCTTTTGGTGTAGTCTGCATTCACCGCGCGGTGAGCGCCGCTTGGTGTTGCCGAATGTATGATTTCAACACTGGTGGTCACCCCACAATCCCCAGTGAACTGCTCGGATGCGCACATTGCGTCTAAGTTCTCCTTACTGAACCGTAGGCCATAGTCGGTGTAATACATGTTTCGTTCCGTAAGGAACTTTGCTAGAAGCTCTACACGAGAACGCGACACCAATACAGGAGTGAGTTTGGATATCGTCTCCAGCGAAGGCTTCTCCCCGCCTATGAATACGACACAGATCGAGTAGTCAGTATCATCGGGCGCAGGGGGGATCAGCTGAGAGACTTTCCCAACTTCCTGAGGAAGAATCGCGACATTGCCTTTCACGTACCCTTGTGGAACTTTCCGATCGGGAGTGGCGCCAGCGGTGTACAAGAACGTTATTTTGCTTGCCCGACATCCCGCTATCAGCTGACGTTCATGCAAAGTACTCTCTGCGAACGCCTTGGAGACAGCCGGAGGGAGACGCTCGTACGCGTAGTATTGAAAGTTCGCGATCGCATCGAGAGGCTGCGTTCCATGGCTCAAAGGCCCTCGACAGGATGAGCACACGCGGATGTCATCTAGTACATCCTGCTGACGCATACCTGTTGCACATAAGTAGGCGCGCTGGTATAGTTCAAAATCATAGGACTTAGGAGTCAGGTCTTCGGGTATCTCTTCGTTCTGCAGAACCTCTAGCGGGACTTCAGAGATCGGCATCCACTCGAGGGCAGAAGGCAATTTCTTCTGCCCACATACGGCACAGGCACCGTATTGAAAGTTGTCTTCCGCCATGAATTCTTGAAACTCGCGCAGTATCTCCTTCCTGCGCGAAGCCGTGCAGAACTCAGGGAATGCGGGGTTATCCTCCACAGGACTCGAGCCCGAGCCTGTACGAACAGCAGCGCTCTTCGTTTCACCGCCCTGCTTGCTGCTAACCTTCCCAGTCGTCTCGTCCTTGCGCTCCGAAATGCGACCCTTGAAAACGTACACTATAGTCGAGCAAGTAGCCTGACACGTGTGCTTCCGCCTCAGCTGGTCACGCATGTCATCGACCCGCGAATCGCGGGCTAAGCGATGGTGGTGGAGTGCACCCATTTGCATGAGGTCGATTTTGCGTAATTTACCGCAAGCGGACAAGAGGCTCGACATAGAGCTAGTTCGAACGAAGATGTACGAGTCGCCGAGGTTCTCAGGCTCTGATGCCCGGACTGAATGAAAATCATACCACCGCCTCAGAACAGAGCAAGCGATGGGCTCTCCGACTGCTGCAACATCAACATCTGACGTGTCGGACCCATCGGCCATGACATATCGTCTCTGTGCTTCAAGGGCACAAGCTGTCAAGTACGAGTTTCATGTTTCATTCACAAATCGACGGCATGATCAAGGACCGTGATATCACAATACAGCATTCATGACAGGATAATACCACCTAGAAGCACGAGATTAGGTTTGGCGTAGTGGGCCGTTGTGATATGCACATACCAGGTACGAAATGGTGCGCGGTCAGGGCACAGCCGGCATCAAAATGCAGTATGTGGGAATGTGAAGGGAAAATGAGGAAAGTATCCGACGTCAGCGCATATTAGGAGCAATATGGACCAAGGAAACGCACCATTATCCTCAAGGCGATCCAACTGATCCGACCCGGTAGCCACCATATCCACATCGTAGACCTCGGAGGTTGTAGCTGTAGTGTGGGAAGGCAGCGAGCCGGAGTCAATGCACAGCCCTTCCTCTACCATTTCCACGTCGCAGACGGCGGTTGCGACCGGCGCGCACGAAGGCTCGGGACACTGGTTGGGAGAAGGTGGACGGGGAGTGGTAGGCTGTGCTTCGAGAGACGGCGACGGCACCTGCTCGGGGACTAAATCGATATCGGCACCGAACTCGACCGCCCGACGAGGAAGACCACCAGGTAACATGCCCGCATGGTTATTGAAGATACGCAAGGCATCTTGCTCCGCGATCCATCTCGTCCGCCCTGAAACCTCGTTCAGCGTCGGCGTGAAACGAGGAATAGTCGTGTACTCACCGCAGTTGATACAGCGAGCGAGGGTACTGCCCCCGGAGATCGATTCCATGAGTCCTCCCACCCCGCTCTCGTCCAGAGGGGTCCACAGCCTGCTGGACGAGCTCGGTAGGACAAAACGCATATTATCTGAGCGCGCCATCACATCAATACGGTTTGCGACAACAACACATGAGCAGTCATCCGCACCATCACTGCATGAGCAGTCTTCCACATCTAAACATTTCATATATGGCGAAGCATGCGAGTACTTCGCCTTCAGGCGGCGGTCCTCGTCATTGAAAGACTCTCGCCGTCGCTTTCCCGCGCCGAGTGACGCGGGATGAGGGATAGGTTCGAATTGAATGGTCATCGTAGTTGGAAGACAAGAGCCTGGTTGTACTGCCGGAGCTATGCCGGCCACTTTCGCACGTGGCGATACCTGATGACGCGTCCATAATTCCGTCTGACGTAGGGTGGACTTACTAACTCTCGAGCATCTTGAAACCGTCTCTTCTCAGGATGTCATCTACGCGAAATCATCCAGAGCACAAGCGAGAAGTGCATCTATTAATATGCTCGGACTCATGAAAGACACAGTATCCCTAATTGATGTACTGCCTTCCTGAACCTACGATCAAGGACGTACGCCCTATCGTCTCACCGCTCGACACGGAAAATGTACTTCTCGGTGCGCGAATCTCACTTCATGTTATGCTTCCAACAGGCTGACACTGACTTTCATAGACGTCCAGCGGACACCATACGAATTCAGGCCGCGTGTACGCCTGGACCAACGTGCGCGCGTGTTGCGCCTTCTGAATTCAGCCAAGCCTACAGACAAGCGTGTTATTTCCCGTATAGGTCGTCTTCTGACGGTACCGTATTCACTCCACTTCTCCCTGTCTGTATGTTGACTGTGATTACAGGGTGACGAGGACGGTTACATCCACGATTGGTATGACAAGGTCCGAAACGTCAAGACGCTCTACATCTGGCACAACAAAATCATACACCCTCGGGCTGACGCCCACGTGAACGCGCGTTACAGTGCATACATACACCTTGCCGGAGTTCGCCAACGACGGGCTGGTCCAGCACTAGCCTATGCTGTATTGACCATCGTCACAGACGGTCTCGTCTTCCGTGGCTGGCAACATCGTCCACGAGTGGTCGATATCGCATATTCTATCGAGAAGGACGAGACCGTCGCAGTTGTGCTGTTTGACGAACTTGGCGTCCTTGCTTTGAACGTCGCGCGTGAAGCAGAGGATGTTCGCGTTGCTAACACTGGTCATCTAATCGTCGCAAGACCGGACCCTCGAACGGTGCATGCCCTCGCGCCTGATAGTTTGATCAAGATTTTCGAGGTTGTTCAGTCAGTCCCATCATCTTCCAGCGATGCGGATAACATCGTAATGGTTCATAGATGGCTTGTGAATCCGATGGCGTACGAAGCGCGTAACGGACGCCCCGCTGGTATCCTCCCTCGGTTGCTCGGAGCACCGCAAGTCGGGACTCGCTATGGCAGCTGCATCCTAAACCAGGACTTGCCAGAGGACGCAGCCTCTTACGAAAGTTAACAAACCGAAGTTTTCCCGTGTCTACATGCGTATACATCATGACCAAGTTCCCCGCCAAGCCTCTAAACCATAATACCTTGTCGCCTTCACAAATCCTCGCTTTCGATCCTGTCTCCACTCTCTTCCACGGTAGTCTCGTCAATATTATCTTCGTCCGCGCTATCTTCGTCCACGCCTTCTTCAATATCTGAAATCTCGGCATCCAGATCCTCTTCCTCGTCCTGCCCTTCTTGTGCCTCGACTTCTTCGTCGTCATCCTCTACCACGTTCCATGACCATGTGCGTCTCATGTTCATGTCGTACTCCTGTATAAGACTACAACGGCCTCAGTGTATGAACACACTGTTACATGCACTACCACTCACTACCTCGCGGCATCCTTTGCCAATTGTGACTGCCACTCACATTCCGGCTCGATTCCTACGTGCACCGAAGCGTTGGTCTCATCGAGACGCGCTATCAGCAAAGGTCCACGCCAGTCCAAGCCCCAGTCACGCCGCGCTGTTTCACAGTGCGACAACTGAGATCGCGAGGCGGGGTACCAGACGTCGTACAACTCTCCGGACGGCATAGTAATAGCCTTGTGAGATGCACTACCTTCCCAAAACTCAGTCCAGACAGGAGTCGAGTTTGGGTGCGCAGTACTGCGGAGCACGGACGCCAACGTGAGCAGTGGTGAGCCCGACTCGGGAAGTAGGAGCACGAAGACACGCTCGATATTCTCCATGGTAGGACTATGATGGGATAGCGAATGGTTCGTGGGCCTGGGTTGCGTGCGCAAACAGCCTCAAATACCGAAAAATGTGCTGCAAAAGATACAGGTCGCCTAATGAACAACACGTCATGACACTCGCGACGCGTGTGCCGTCCCGCACTTGCGTACACTTGATTTTGTCATCGTCACATCACGCAGTAACACCACCGACGAATCCTCATCCATTCTGCGCCGCGTGTGACGTTTTGTGACATGGATCACGCTTCGAATTGCTGGAGCTGAAACCTGGTCCTAAAGGTACCAGGAACAGTAGTTCGTATCCTACGTGTTTACACCGTCAGTCTATACATAGAATGCTCATTGCTCCTCGCCGAGCTTGATCACCAGATGCCTCCTCGTAACAATTGCCCTCGCACCGGGAACTACCACAATCGTCTGCGTATCATCAATGACAACTGCCGGACCCCAAACCACCTCCCCAATCTCCAACTTATCGAGCTCATAAACCGGCGTATCCTCGATCCTCCCTCCAAGCGCCGGATCAAAATACGTCGAATGCCTTCTCGCAATCTTCGCCTCTGCAACCGCAGCCGTCTTGAGCGTCTTGAGCTCCTCGAACACCGACGGCCCCAGCGAGTCGAACGTCTTGCCGGTACCGCGCACTTTCACGTCGTCCACTACAACGTTCTTCGCTTCGAGTACGAATCCGAATTCGGCTCGGTAGGCGCGTTTGAAGGCTTGGAGGTAGTCGGTGCCTTCGGAGGCGGTGGGGAGGATCATTAGTGCTGTGTCGGTACCGTCGAAGCGCATGTTGAGCATTCGGTCTATGTGGATGTGGGTAGAATCAAAGCCTTGTTCCTTGAGTGATGATGTGACTTGGGAGGATAAGGCGTCGAGGCGAGCGTGTAGTTGGGGTGCGGTTTGGGAGTTGTAGATCGAGGAGGCTGGTTCTTGGACTTCATGCGCACTGTACGGATGGACGAGCGTCAGATACAGCTGTGCATGGAAGGTTGGAAGCATGATAAGCGTACCGGTCTGCTAGCGCGAGTCCGTAAGCGGAGAGAATAGACGAGTACCGGTGAATCAAGATCGTCTTGATACCCAGTAACGCAGCGATCTCGCACGCGTGCTGCCCACCCGCGCCACCAAAGCTCGCCAAGCTATCGAATCACCACCATAAGCCTGAGCGCATTTCCCATTCATGACACAAACGTACATGTGCTTTCCTGTAGCGTATCCCCTCGCCTCAGTCAACGCTCTGATCGGCCGCGCCATGGTCTCGTTCGCAACCTTGATAAACCCATACACGGTCTCATCAAGCCCGAGATCTTTCCCGGTTTCCTCGTTGATCTGCGCCCGTAGCTTATCAAAGGCGGAGCGCGATGCTTCGATGTCGAGAGGCTGGTCTTCGGTCTTGCCGAAGATCTTGGGGAAGTAGTCTGGGATGAGACGACCGAGGAGAAGATTGGCGTCTGTTACTGCCAGGGGACCGCCTTTCCTACACATAAAGACGTTAGGACGAGGTATGGGATGTGCAGCTGGCGAACTTACCGGTAGCATGCGGGGCCGGGTTGTGCGCCTGCGCTCTCGGGACCTGCAGTAAACAAGCCGTTGCGCCACGCAAGACACGATCCACCGCCGGCCGCAACAGTGTTGATATCCTATTACCGACTGTAAGCCACACAGTATAAGACACGCAACAAAGGTACTGACCAGCTGAGGACTTTGAATCGTTACGCCGGCCGTAGTCGTCTCATACACGACCTCATAGCGTCCATCAAACCGGCTGACGTCGGTTGAGGTACCGCCAACATCGAGTCCGATAACAGGCGTCTTCTTCTCCTCGTCCCAGCTCGTCAGTGCGTAGCCTACTACACCGCCAGCCGGTCCGCTGAGGATACTCTTCAGACCGCTGAACCTCGCCGCGTCGACAAGGCCACCGTCACTGCCCATGAACTCCACCCTCGGACTCTTCACCGTCTCGTCGCGGAGCTTGGAGTCGAATCCGGCGAAGAAGCCGTCGAGATATTGGCGCAGAATGGGTGTGAGGTAGGCATCGGCTGTACTGGAGACACCACGCGGCACCATCTTGATCATAGGGAGAAGCTGGGAGGAGAGCGAGATGTGCTCGAACCCAACCTCGCGCGCGAGCTTGCCGAGGAGGAGTTCATGTTCGGGGAAGGTGTACGAGTGCGCGAGGACGACGGCGATGGAGCGGTAGCCGTCGTCATAGAGCTTCTGCAAGTCGCCGCGAATGGCTTTATCGTCCGGCTTCCTCAATATCCTCACGGCCTCTCCGGATATCCCACGCACGATCTCGCCCGGCCCTTCGGCGTCGCCCTCGCCGTCCCAGCCCTTGCCTCTGTATCCTCGCTCGACCTTTCCATCATCCGTGAACAGTATCTTGTGCTCCTCTGCTTTGGGATCGCTGGTGTATCCCACGAGTGTGACGCGCTCGTCTACTTCGACGACAGTATCGTATAGTGGTGGTGCGCGACGGATATTGAGGTCGAAGATCTTAGGACGGGACTGGTTGCCGATCAAGAGCAAGTCTTTGAAGCCCTGCGTGATGAGCAACGCGTGCTTCTCGCCTTTACGCTCCAACAGCGCGTTCGTCGCGACAGTCGTGCTCAACCTGATATAATCTACACGTCTACATCAGTCTCTGAGACCACCATACGCCTATACCCTGTGAAAGACATACCGATTTTGGACGTATCAAGCCTCTCGCCTCTCGGTATACTCTTACCCGTGACCTGTTCGAGTATGCGCCTGATACCCTCAGTCGGTGCATCCTGGTAGTTCGCAGGATCCTGAGACAGAAGCTTCACTACGATCTCTTTACGCTCGCCATCAGTGTTCTCAGGGTCTGGGTACGAGCAGTGCACGTCGCAGAAGGTGCCGCCTCGGTCGGCGCAAATGCGTAGAGATCGGTCTGGGACCTCCGGCATTGTATAGAGTGGGTTGAGAGATGGGGTAGACGTCCCGTGCTATCTCGGCGTACGGAGGTTGGGCGTCGGCACGGAAGACCACACGGAGGGCCACACGGAGGGCCACACGGAGGGCCACACGGAGGGCCACACGGAAGGCGATAGATCTCGTCATCGGCTTTAAGCGGCCGCTCATTTACCAGATAAACATACTATATATAAAACAACAAAAATGAATCGCAGTCCCTGGTAGTATATCGGCTAGTACACCCGCTTGTCAAGGCAAGCGCGCGGGAGAGCGGGGTTCGACTCCCCGCCAGGGAGCTAAGCTGCACATTACGCGGGTTTTTTTAATATCCCTTGTCCAACGTTCGTACATTTGTGAATCACCGAAAGCCGCCGATGTGTCGACATAGAGGCATGCGGTGTGTAGCTAAGCACCGGAAGACGAGCTGCATATGCTTTCGTAATACATGTGTATGATATGACGACTTGAACATGGAAGCAACAAAAACAAGGATGTATTGAAAACATGGTGGGTACAATCACCACGAACGAGAGTCCATAACACTATTCACCTCCCCAGCCAGTCGCTCGACATCTAACCCCTCCATAGCACTCGCCATCGTAGAGTTCGACACGGGCGTGAAGATGAGACGCATCGGGCTGAGCGTCCGCTCGATCTCCTGCTCGACAACTCCATCCTGTCTACAATCGGGCGCAGCGGTAGAAGAGGTGTCCGGCTCCTGCAGAGACTCGAGCAAGTCGTGGAAGCTTGGGAGGCCGCCCAGGTCAGAGGCCGGGGCAAGAGGCGGTTGATCTCGGCCGATTTCACTCCGGCCGAGGTGCGGCGGAAGTTCCCAAGTGATGCGTTCGTCTTCGGCGCGAGCTCGATCACCCACGACGTCCTCATTCTGCTCTATATCCATCTTCTCGGGAGTATCCGCAGGGGGAGGGGACCAGCGCGCAGAAAGCACGGTCGGCGCAACCCTTTGACGCGGGGGAGACGGCAAGGGTGTGGGATAGAAGCCTGCGGGATACGCTGGCGAAGGCACACCGGGACTACTCGACGAAGTAGACGGGCGCATCGCGTACGCAACTCGCGGAGACGAAGGCGTCGGACACGATTTGGCGGCGTGTGATGTGGAAGATGCGCGATGTCGCTTGCGGGGTGAGATGACGGTATGCGACATGCGCGGTGTGCGTGCGGGGTACGGGACGGCGCGCACTAGAGGCGCGAGAGTTGATAAGGAGGGGTGGTGGATGATGGGTGACGAGGAGGAAGACGAGGGGATGGGGTGGAAGTGATCGGAGGCGGATCCGGGGATCGGGCTCGGTGGTCGTACTGGGTGAAGGTTGGTGCGCGGATCATCGTCTGCTGGAAAGTATCAGTATGAAATCGTACGCCAGGAGTAGAGACGCACCATACCCTTCCGGGTTGAACACGTTATTGTCGTCGAGAGGCATGAAGCCAGGATGCACCAACCCTGGCGCGCGCGCCGGGACAGGCGCGACGATAGCGGTGTCAGAAACGCGGGACAGCATAGTCATAGCGTGAAGTACGTTTGGGAAGAGAAAGCGTGTACGAGCGCAAGCGCAGGGCTGTTTAAGTACACAAGATTTCGAGGGAAAGGGCATGGGCGAGATCCGTTCTGAGAGTGTCGGTCGCCGGGACTAGTACTGGAATCGGCCTGGTCTGGATCCTGCTCGGCGAGACGGGACGAGAATTTACTGTGTATAGCACGTTTGCGTCTCAGGGAGACATTGCGTTGTATTGCAGTACCTGAATGGTAGGTCTTCAGATAGTCGCAGCTGGATGCGAGGACAAGGACAGTAGCATGGGGAATGATGCTGTAGAGGTAGCCTTCATGGTGCGGGGAAAGCTGAGATACCTACACTGACGGATTCAAAAGACTACTGATGCAGAGCGATTCGCAGTAAGGTCATGTCCAGTATGTCACGGACATGTAGGAGTGAATGTGAGAATACTCTCAGACGCGTAAGTCAAGGACGAAAGGAAGAGCGTTCGAGCGCTAAGTAGGTATTTGTTTACTGAACGGCCGTCCGGTAGGATCTAGCTACTTAGAATTACTTTGCTAACGGTCGGATATGGTGTAACGGCTAACATTGCCGCCTCTCACGAGGTCGCGGCAGCTCGGGGTTCGATTCCCCGTATCCGAAATGTAGCGGGTGTCTGTATTTTTGTCGTCCTTTCCTAGGGTATCCCTGGAGATCCATTCGAAAGACGTCGATGAAGTACTACCGCTTCCACAACAAGCATAGGATACACTCGCACATAACAGCCCGTGGGGAGTCGAGGGATCGTGCATCATGCATCAAGTGCCCTCCGAGCGTGCGCGTTGCTTTCAACTGCCATGACCACTCCTTGCACAGACCTCCCGCCAGGAAGACCGGGCTCGCGCGCTGCATCCCGCACCCTTCATCCCATGTCGAACGAGCAGCGCATCTCGATCCAGAGCCTTTCTGACGATGTTTTCTGCTTGATTTTCAACGAGTTCCACGCCAATTATTCTGCTGGTGGTGCGAACAAACTAGGTTGGGTTACACCGAGCCACGTATGTTCTCGATGGCGCCGCATCCTCGTCGACGACTGCGCGACGCTGTGGGCCCGTTCCCTTTGCACATTTCCGAAGGCCCTGCCAATCTTCGTCGAGCGCGTGCGAGATGCGATGTTGACGATCCGGATCGACGAAGCCCATCTTGGCCACGAAACTGCAATTGGCTTCATCGAGATGAAGGAGTCGAGAGATACTCTACTGGACGTCATCAAGCAGCGGTCGCAGCAGATCCAGACTATCGATATCACATTCCCTTCCATCCCCCAGTCTTACACCACCCCTGCGGACGTCGCGGCTCGACGGAACATGATCCCGATGCTCTTCAAGGCTGAAGTCCTAAGTGGGCTCATGAGGAAGACTCTGCCGTATTTGCAAGAATTGAGGCTGATTGGCCCGCCCTTGAGTGGTATGAACGGCTCCGCACCGCTGTCAAGTAAGACAGCTTTTGTCGCGCCAAAGCTTGTCTGTCTGGAGCTCTTCCACGTGCAGATATCGGCAGAGACATTATATAATGTTCTCCGCAATGCTCCGCGTCTCGAGACGCTTACCATACAATGGGCCGGTAGAGATGCCACCACCATGTCTACCGATATTCAACACCTTTCCGAGCCACTTCCCCTCGCACGCCTCGTTAATGCATCGTTGGGTGGGCGCCAGGCTAGACTCATCGACTTTCTCCCTCTCTGGCGTCTCATTCTTGCACATGAGCGCGTTCGTTTGCATGTTCTTGTTTCCCCGTCGACAGGCGACGAGGGCGAGAGCTCTTTGGTCGCTCTCGCGCCCTGGCTTCAGCGTACAGGAGGCGATATGTTGTCCTTTTCTATTGCTACAGACAGAATAGGCTTTGCCATAGCCTCTTCCACATCCACTGTACTTGATCCAAACCCTTATCTGCACTTTGAATTTGGGGATATGATCCCGGGGGCGGGACTCTTCCCTCGTCTGCTCTCGCGATTCATCACCAGCGTGCACCCTGCGAATATCCACGTCCTCGACCTCGATGCCGAAATCATCATCCGAGAAAACATCACTGGACAGCTTGAGCACCTGTCAGCTGTGCGCGAACTCCGAGTGGTCTTTGGTCTTGAAGTGGCCCCGCTCTTCATTCTGCATGATATTATCGAAATCATACCGGAGATACCTCCCTTCTTTCCCGCCCTGAGGACGCTCGTGCTCAAGGGCACTGTCACTGATTGGTCGACCATTTGGCTTTCGCAAGGGACCGGCATGCTCTCGAATGCCTTGCAGTCACGGAGGGAGGCAGGGTTCCCGGTGTCGAAGCTGATCTTGCGCGGAGTGGGGATCGGATCGCAGGACGAACGGACGCAGATTGATGTTATGGCACAACATGTCGACGAGTTTGTTGACGAAAGGCAGCATGTAGGCTGGGATATGGCAGAGTTTGAAGCATCTAGGGAGTTCTTGTGAAAGGAAACGTAGGCGAAGGCGGCTGGGAGGCTTGATTGGAGGACCAGGAGAGGTGTGGCGCCGAGAAACATTCTGTGTTCATGCTAGTCATATCTCCTTTGTCATTTGTATCTATCCGAATTGAACTGTACTCTACACTTCCTTACATCTGTGAGGCCAAGTTGTCTCGCTCACTCTTCGAAGTGAGATTGAGGGCTGATGGTTGAGTAACGCTCGAGGTACTGCATGTTCGTCGTGGTGTGCGATCAGCCTTTTGCATCCGCCGACTTGTGTACGATCACGATGTGTTTGCCGAGACGGTATCCGCCTTCTGAAGTACATCGACCAAATAGAATAGTGTCGCGCTTGCACATCTTCAGATGTCACAGAGCGCGGGTCGCTCGGGTGAGGATGTATCACTCAATGAAACCACCTTGCAGGCATTGTCGGTGATCCCGTCTGTCGGAGACAGGGCTATGAAACGGCAGTATGACTCGACCGGCGCTTCTTCATGCACAGCTGACTAGATGATCGTCTTCGCTCTGCCGTGACGTCGACGTTCACGAAGCTCTGAGACCAATCTGATATTGGGCTGTCAATGGGCAGCTGACTGGCGGAATTGCCTCAAACGCGACAACAAGCCTTCACAGTACCTCCATGGCTTGTGATGAGGCTCACGACCCTGACCATATGCTCCCTAAGCACATCTCATATCCGGCGAACGTGTCCCGACGAGCGCTGAACGGGCTACTCTTGTAGATCGCCCAGCACAGTCATCCCTCAGCATCTACGGGTTGCTTAAGCCGCCTCGGCTACGGTTCTATGCCTGCGGCCTCTTCTATTCTTGGGATCATACAGATAGAGGAACTGTGTGAATGTCCATATGGAGATGTAGCGAGCATTTAAATACGCTTTGCAGAAGCGAGCAACGCTCAGCGTCTTCTCCCCTTCGCTCTCACTCACGACCTCCACATTCTCCGCACTCACGATAACATGAAGTTCACGCTCTCCGTTGTCCTCTGCACTCTTGCCCTCTCCGCCACTGCCGCTCCCACGGGTACCCAGACTGCGACGGCGGCCACGACCTCCTCGACTAGGCAGGTGTCTTTCAAGCGATGACGCAGAGAGCTTTCTGACGTCTCAATCTTGTAGCAGCGTAGCGCCCAGTACGCTCGTGCAATTCCAGCTCATTGACACGGATCTGTGCATCGCGGGCACCGGCACTACCGTCGGCGCCCAGTTCACGCTTGAGTCCTGTGGTTCAGAACTCACGACCTTCGATCTTCCCGGAGGTGCGCCCACGGGCCCGACACAGCTCGTCTTGAACAGCACCATCTCCAGCGGTGAACCAATTTCGTGCGTCAATGCCCGTGACGTGGCTGCAAACGGGGCGGTCTTCCTGGATGTCTGCGAGGACGACGCGTTTGAGCGTTGGCGCGTCGTGGGTGGCTCGGGAACCGGGCCGATCATCAATGTCGGTACACCTGCAGATGAGGGCACGTTCTGCCTGACGGTGGCCACTATCGATGCGGGAAGTCCGGTACGTATCAATCATGGCACAGTTGTATGCATGCTGAAGGGCGCGTGCCTTGTAGATCATCTTCTCGTCCTGCACTGGTGGGCTCGCACAGGAGTGGGTGACTCTTATCGAGACGGACTAGGTTTCCATTCGTAGTGGAAGCTCCTTGTCATGAGACGGCATTCCCCCCTCCTTGAACAATGACTGGATGTAAGGACCTATATCGGACTTAAGCAGTAGTTACGACACGATTGGACTCTTCTTTCGTACCTGCTGTACTCCTGCTAGTATCGGACGTCGTGTCAAGAACTTTTGAGAAGACTATGCAACCTCACGATCAGAGTCTACGATGCCTCGTCATGGTACAAGGAACATTGAGAGATGATCTCTATCATTGAATGTTCGCGGCGGTGGTGGACGAATCGCAGGCCACGAATGACGCGCTCCGCGAGCTCTTGTGTGTCACTCCGTCGCGATCAGTCACACGGCCGTATCGTTTCTCACTCGTTGCGCGGTTATCATTGTTCTACCATCATCATCGCGAGCGCTTGGCGTGTTCTCTCTCTACAGAATACACGTCAATCCTGGTGTATCCAGTCAGCCTTAGAATGACTGAGATCGGGAGAGTCTCGATCTTACGGCTCCACGAAGAGCTCTTCTGCCTCATCTTTCGCCATCTATCGGACATCTATCCGCCGGGCGAAGTCAACCAGCTAGGGTGGATCGTATGCACACATGTGTGTCAGTCATGGCGTAGAATCGGAACAGAAGAATGCGCGACACTCTGGGGCGAGTGTCTTTGCGCCTTTCCCAGGGCTTCCCCCATCTTCCTAGAACGAGCGCGCAGCGCGAAGCTAACGGTCGACCTCACGGTGACTGAGCGCGCAACCTACGTGGAAGGCTCCTGGATTTTATCGGAAGATCTCAAAGACACGCTCTGTGGCATATTTCAGGGCCGCACGCAGCAATTACAGCGCGTGAGCCTGTCGTTCTCCGCCTTTCGCCCAATACTCCCCGCCTTCCGCGCTGCGACTTTCGACAACGGCAACCCCGCGGGCGTGACGTCTCCGAACATTGAGGCGGATATGAAACTACGCGCCGATAATGAACGCGTAATGTCCAAGGGCCAACGTGCTTCGCTCCTTAGTGGTGCCGCCCTGGATGGGTTCATGGGCCAGACACTACCCGCGCTTCGGGAACTCGAAATTGTGTACGAAACCTACCAATGCTCGGTCAAATCCACGGCACTACACAGCGACACCGCTTTTGTCGCCCCAAATCTCATCTCTCTGAAGCTTCACCGCCAGTGCATTCCCGTCCATATCCTATACGACATCCTCCAGAGCACGCCCCTTCTCGAGACACTTGACGTGCAATGGACTCACGAGGATGGAACTGACATGACGGGAGATCTAGCGGGCTTGAAACCCCCGCTTTCACTCCCACAACTGAAGAATGTCGCGCTCAGCTCGCCGACCTTGTCCCTTGAAGGCCTACGCTCTTTCGTGGGCCTCATCCGTGCACACCCAGACGTCCGTCTACGCTTCGGCGGAAGCGTGACATCACATCAAGAGGCCATCGAATTTCTCGCAATGCTTGCCGCCCTGATCCGGCGGTCAAGCCTCGACTTATTCACGATACGGGGCGGCCGCTTCCCGCTCAGCGGCACGAGCATTGTATTCTCGTCTACACTCGCATCACCATCCAATCCAAAACCCTGCGTGGATGTAGCATTCGAACGCGAAGGGCCACAGATAGTGTCGCTCGTTCAGCAGATGTTCATGTCAGCTGATTATACACGCATTCGTGCCTTGAGACTTGATGTCGATTCTATATCCCTTGCGATGGCGCCGGATGTCATGAGCTTTTTAGCTCAGCTGACAGCGATACAAGAGCTTCAGGTCAACCTGAGCTCTGATGGGTTACTTCTCGGGTTCGCCAGTGTAGGACAACTGGACGCTGCCCTACAACCCCGGTTATTCCCCGACCTCAAGACACTTGTGTTGAGGCGTATCAACCTCTCGCCGTCCTCCCTATGGCAACGCGAAGGCCGCCAGGCGGCGAATGCGTTCCTAGAAGCACGTAAGGAAGCCGGAGTTCCTGTGTCGAAGGTCATCCTGCGTGGGATGAAGTTGGGCAGCGTCGGCTTTGATAGGGTACCAGATGACGTGGCTCTGAGAGAGTTGGAGGAGTTTGTTGATGAAGTCGTCGATCAGAGACAGGAGCAGTCTATGGGTATCATGCCGATCATAGCTGACGATGACTTCTTGTAAGTCACGGACGTGGGATGATGGAGACCAAGATACTATATAGGTTAGGATAGGAGGACGAGAATGTACACCCGAGATGTATACGAATGAGAGAGGAATGCTATGTGAAGGCGACCAATGCGTAAATATAACTGAGAAAACACGTGCAAGGGGGATAGGAGGCGACAGCAGAGGTATAACAGAGATAACTGCAGCACTTTTACAACATCGACCTCGAGTGATTGCAATAACGGCCTGCAAGCGGCCGCCAACGCGATCACACGACAATGTTGTTGCAACAGGCTGTAGGAAAGCGGGATGAGCGGTTCTGTTGGAACTATTCAGTGCCACGCGGATGAGGTCAAAGGCGGCGGACTCACCTCGTTGGGAGCCAGGACCTAGCGGGGTATCTTAACTTCCTCCGCCCGTGCCAGTGCGCGACGCAGACTGAGGATGTGTAGCGATGCCGACGCATAGAGTACTCGCCACATTGAAGATTGCCCCAAGTGCTATCAAGTACATATAGGTCTTTCGACTGAAAGTCTGGGCGATATGATGGAATTGGAGCGCGGACAGGGTCGTGGGGATAAGGGTGACGAATAGAAAGAACATGCTCGCGGCCGCGCATACGATAGAGAGAATCCGCGACACAGCCTCTTCCTTCATTGTTCCGGGATCATTCAAAGCAACGAAGAAGATTGTGATTGCCCAAGTGAACAAGAATACAATCTACAACAGGAACATGATTTCTCGTGAGCGCTCCGGTTGAATGAGGATATGAGGCCGATTGTAAACGCACGATGGTGATAAGGGTCGTCAGCCCTATTGCTCGTCGCGCTCTGACGTTGCTGATCTCGTTGAAAGTACTAGCGGTCGCTTGAGAGTCCTCACTTTGCCGACGGCGAGGTGGGTGGCAATGCGAGACCTATCAGACCAGACTCAACACATGGCACATATTACATCGTGAGATGGGCGCTTACAGGAGGAAGGTCGGGAGTAGCGGCAGCCTCGAGTTTACTTGGGAAAGCGCCTCCTGGGTGCAGGGCCGACGGTTCAAGCCGCACATCCTACGCGAACCAGCCGTCATGTAAGGTAGTGGGCGCAGACGGGATGATGAGGATAGGGAGTGAACTGACGGGCGCAGGCGTGATTCCTGAGCGCAGATTGTCCGCATCCATGCATGTTGACTAGAAGAAGCAGACGTGTGAGCTGCAACGAGTTGCGGAGAATCAACGATGCGACGCACGGCCGCTGAAACGACCTCAACTTGTACTTCATCCCCCTTCGCTTTTTCGGCGCAGGCAGCTCCTTCGTTCCGCGCGGCGGATGTTCGTGAACTAGCAGACTCGCTATGCGAGGACTTCGTCGGAGGGATCAGGGGTGGGCACAATGCGGAAGTGACCAAGATCGCACCTCAGCCGTCGTGCTACCTGTCGGGGTGAAGTCGGTCGTCATCTTTTCGGGCCGGTTGAGTGCGATACTAGCGGGCGATGTCGAATGTGGTGGGACCAACAGCATAGAATCGGCAGTTACGGGGGACTAAAAGGTACAGATGAGAAACAACTCCACGGTTTTGAGAGCTTGATGTGGCGGATACAGACACTAAGACTTGATAGGCTCTTCGCAGTGGGAGCAGACATCGCACTGAAGTGTCTGTGTTGTGGATGGAGTTGTATCGCAGGGTGACCGCCAACTGGCTTTATACGGCCTCACGCGTGTATGGCGAACTCGGCGCGCAAAACAGACCTGTTGCGGTCTGTACAAAACTTGCACGGCTATCCCAAGGCCAATTAGCTAGTATCTGTGCACATCAGCGATTACATAAAAGGAAGATTGGGCAGTTCGTGCGTTATCAAGTGGCCTACAGTCCCATCGAACAGTGGACAATTATTTCGAGACTAAAGTCAACAGCGGGCCGGCAGCTCGCACGTATCCGCACGGGAGCAGCGCGTTCGAAGGAGAATAGGGGTTGTAGTGGCGCGTGCGCTGAAACCGTTTTGGACGAGCAGCTTTTACATGAGTAAACGTCAGCACGTGGATTAGGGACACGACTTAGCTATCGCGTGTCTGGCCAGCACCGGCCATCGAGGAACAGGCCTTGGTAATATGACGTCGGATCTATGCGAGATCAGTGCGGCAGTCCGCGAATCGTCGCAAGGCGATGATCACGAGGGCGAAAGTCCATCTACATGAGATCCGCCCAGGCAAATCGTTCGCCGCTTCGTTTGCTCTCGAGACGGCTGAGGTCCTGCATCGGTCAGTAATGAACGTCGTGCCTTCGCGAACGAGACGTTCAGCGGTCAGATGTAAACCACAGCTCAGTCCAGTATGCCAAACATTCTCGGACTTGCCCAGCCATGAACTCTGAATTACATTGATAAAAGCTGAACCACTACGACAAACTGTTGCGCGGGCATTAGTACGATTGCAGAGTCGTCCTAGGTATGGCTGACTCACTGGTATCAATATATCCCCAGAACTGAAGGCCGCGATGCCAGTGAGGGTCGATTCACTATCACGAGTAAGGGACCGCGCGCGCGCCCTTACACCAGCGACGGTTTGCTCTTGAGTGAAACTTATAAAGTCGACATTCGATGCGATGGGCGAAGAAAGCGCCGAGAGGACAGAAGGGTTGGTCCTTATAGCTGGTGTGGCATGCCGGGGAGGCACACGCTCGCTATATGACGCATGCGCGTTTTCGGTTTCAACCAGGTTGGCCGATCGACGAAAGGCAACTCTCATTCCCTGCATGGAAATGAAGTGTCGCCTGCATTCTAGGCAGGGATCTGTATCTTTCATTTATAGGATTGGGCGATCTTGAGCTCGCGCGTCGCGTGTTATGTCCCCGTTCATTTATCGGCCTGTCGTTCCGAGTGCAGCGTGGATTCCGTGTGTCTGTGAGTCCAAACGCAGGACGCTCCAGTCCCAGCCCGCAGATGCGTGCCCTTGCGCCTATGCTTTGGTGCATCCCGACCATAGTTGTTCATGTTGGTTACAGGCATGTTGAACGCCAGGGAGCCTCGCGGACTCGGCGAGCGAGGTGGCACCTTGCCGAGCGAATGATACGCGTTGTGTGACCATGAGATGTGCTGCTATCTTCAACGTCAGACATCTGAGACTATGGACAAGCATCTGCAAGTGGAATGACTTACGGTCGACGTCCGCACTCTCTCTCTGAGCTCTTTCCCGAGTATCCTTGACGAGGTACTGGCGGAGTCGGCAATCCTTCGAAAGTGTGTTTCCCGTGAGGCAGAACGCTACGGCAGGGTCGGAGGCCAGGCGCACGACGGTAAAGGCATGTATTGAGACGTTGAAGATGGCGAGGCCGGGCGGCTATTGTGTGTATCGATCCCCTCTTTCGACGAGCGGATTTCGAGTCTGAATTTTGACACAGTGAGCATAACAAGACGCTCGGTATGTGATGTGTGAGTATGGCAAGCTGATAAGGCAAAGAAATTGAAAGCGGGAGCGCGTCCCATCCGTCAAGGCACTTAGAAGCAACCGAACAAGCGTCCGCGCCTGTTCAGACCAGTCTTCGCATGTGAAGATCCGGAGAAAGCACGATATACGCGAGGAGTCGTGTAGGCAGCTCCTGAGCCTGCCGGGCTTGGCGTACTCTTCCGGGCGTGCATAGGCTCGTTTCGTGACAGCCATAACCTCGGTAGCCATGTGCGCGTATGACCGTAGTAGCATGTTGCGCTTGCGAAAGCCCGTTCCGGTCCCCCTTCCAACACAAGTCCAACCAATCCATCAGACGGCAACACAGCTGCTGTGCACACCAGCAGACGCCCAGCGCTTCGGCAGCCACCGAGCCAGACAGCACATGCTTTACGCAAGCGTACAGTAATCTTCGAGAGTAGGCGCGCGCCAACCGGTTCACACGTCCAACGTAGGCTCTGCGAGCGCCGGAAAGCGGAAGATGAGGACGCGGTCATGAGCGTTCAGTGCAAGTCGCGATCACGTCCAACGACGGCAGTCACATGGCGCCGCTCGGGCTCGCAGGGACTTGGAACTGTAACTCGCACTCTTACTTTTCCGGGTGATGTGCTCTACGGAGTCGGTGTGGTTGTTAGGGTGCGCCCCTAGGCCTCCGTGAGATGTGGCATGCCAAAAAGCATATGGTATTCGTTGAACCGGCTTTATCCGAGAGTACGCTTGAACATGACTGCGCGACCTTGATTGTTTTATGCAGGAAGAGAGGATTGTTCAAGATATATAGTAGGTTGACGAAAAAGAGTATGACGTCTTTTTAGTTCGGATACGGGGAATCGAACCCCGAGCTGCCGCGATCTCATGAGAGGCGGCAATGTTAGCCGTTACACCATATCCGACTTGATAATAAAAGCTGGTTATGCATCATGTTAACATATTCAGTGTCCTGAACACGCAGCGCAGTACATTGCCCTGGGTCTTTCCTCAACCGATACAAACCGGCTCAATTACAAGATGCTGTAGTAGATACAAAGTGAGATATCTGGCTCCATACATTCGAGTTGATCACTTTCTCCCGTCGACAACTTCACTAACGAGCCCCCTTACAGCCCTCAACCCATCCTCATCTTCCTCCCGCGCGGACTTCTTCCCCGCACTGCTGCTACCATTCACGCCCCGCCCTCTCCTCTCGGCCACAGCACGTCCCATGAGCCGCACGCAGTCAACCTCCGCGCTCTTCTCTGCCCTGCTCTTCAAGAACCTTTGCACGACGTCCCACTTCTCCCTCGTCTCCTCCGGTCCCGGGCCAGCCTCACTCGCGTCGGATTGCTGGGAGCTGGAGGGCGATGTGAGCGTAAGCGTGCCCATACTCGGTAATATCGGGTCTTCATCCGCCACTTCCGCCGATGCGAGCTGGTAGAGGATTGACCGCGAGGAGAACGGACAAGACATCTCGACGATCGTGTCGAACCCTGATAAGATTGACACTGCCGGTTTGGAGAGCGATATGACGTCGAGATGTAGCGAGTCGAGCCATGTCGAGTCGATGAACCGGAGGAACATATCCAATAGTTCGCTCGGCGTCGTCGTCGGATTGGATGCACGGGTAGTCGTTGTAACGGATAGACTGGGCGAAGTGTCAAGATTGCGTTTGGGCAGCATGCGGAATGTAAACGCGTCGGCCGTGGTGTGCAACGCAAGATTGTGCAACCCCGCGCGGTAGAACAACGGCGAAAGCGCCGTAAGCGCACTCCCAAACTCCCGCGCATCGCTCGTCGAAGCCTCAAACGACGCCCGCACATTCCGACACGGTATAAGCACCTTCCACACGCCCAGCACGCTCGGCAGGTCGTGCGCCGACAGCGAGAGGTCCGTGAGGTTTGGCATGTGTAGGGGGGCGCCGGCGTCTTTGAGTGGGAGTTGGATTAGGGTGGGCGAGTCGGTGGGTGTCCAGGATATTGAGAGGGACTGGAGGTCCAGCGAGGAGCGGAGGATGGCGTAGAGGTGGTCGGCGGATATGCGTTGGCGGGATAGGCGGAGCGTTGTGAGGTTCGGCGCGGTGAAAGGTTTCGCGGATGATAGTGGCGCAGATGGTGACGAGGCGTAGGGTGCGTAGGATAGGTCCAGATGTTTGAGCAGCGGTAGCTCCTTGCCTGCGAGCGCATCGAGGAGCGCGGCGTGGAAGCTAGTGCAGCTCGCGGCCTTAGCGTCGCGCGCCGCGGTATCGTGATCGAGCTGAGAGAACGAAGGCAGCACGACGGAGATACGCTCGATATGCGCGGTATGCTCGCTGACCAGATCGAGTAGAGTCTGAGACTTGTCCTTCCAACCGTCCCAGTCATCCGGCTCAAGATCAACGCAGAGCGGCGCATCTCTCGCACGCTCGAGGAATACATTCAACGCTTCCGGTATAGCAGTGACGTTGGCGCCCCATACATCCTTAGCTTCAGGTGCTAAGGCAACATTCCTCAATCTCCGACAGGTATGTGTCCAAGCGAGCTTCCCCGTGGGGAAAGCGCGAGACCCAGATAAGACATTGCGGAATATGAGGCGGAGGAGAGGATCGGGAAGAAGCGTTAGAGGCGAGGCTGTTTGGGCGGCTAGAGGTACGGCTTCTCCCGAGGAGGGCATGGCGATCGAGACTCAGACAGACTGGGATGGTGGGCGTTGGCTGCGAAGAAGTGGCAGAGTGATTGGCGCGCTGGGATGACGTCGGACGAGGCGCAAGCGCCGAGGGGCGGTTGTGGGTCCTTGTGAATGGTCATGAACACAGGCTCGCGGCTCGACGCCCGAATCCGCGCGTCTCTGCTGGTGGGACTTTACGCTCCCCTACATCCTATGCAAGCTCTCGAACACATATCATAGCGCTGTATAGGGAGTCCAAATTGGTCTGAGCTCATGGAAGTTGAACCTATAAATTAATTACGACAGCGTGCGTCTGGTCGGCGATTGCCGGAGAAGGACGCGTGACCTGAAAACGAGGTTAGGGTCAATCAAAACTGCAAGGATCGCGTCGCGCGCTCGACCGGGTATCGAGCCCAACGCGCCGCACGACGACCTCAAGCCCTCCTCAAAATGTCCAAGAGTGCGTTCCGCACCCATATACCCTACACTGAAATGCTGACCTTATGATCTAGGTACGCATAACTATCATTATTCCCTTCACGAATATAATATTCACATATCCCTTCACCAGCTACCGCGGCCGGCAACAAGTACCGTATCACGCTCGGTCTGCCCACGGGCGCCGTGCTCAACTGCGCGGACAACTCGGGCGCCAAGTCGCTCTTCGTCATCGAGCCGTTCGGTTTCGGTTCGCACTTGAACCGTCTTCCCGATGCTGGTGTCGGTGATATGGTTGTTGCGTCGGTGAAGAAGGGAAAGCCCGAGCTCAGGAAGAAGAGTGCGTATATCCCTGATTTATACTGTGGACTAGGAGGGGTCTGGATCTGGATCTTGGATGGATGAGAAGGGACGATTGGGAGCCGGGATATTGGAGTTTCGGAGGAAATAGTGGCTGATTGGAATATTTGCAGCCATGCCCGCCGTTGTCGTTCGCCAGCGCAAGTCCTGGCGCAGGAAGGACGGTGTCACCCTCTACTTCGAGGTGCGTTCCCCACACATTTCTATATCCCTCATATACCAAACTTATATGCAAATAGGACAACGCCGGTGTGATCGTCAACCCGAAGGGCGAGATGAAGGGCTCCGCCATCACCGGCCCCGTCGCAAAAGAGTGCGCCGACCTCTGGCCGCGTATCGCGTCAAACGCAGGCACCGTCGTATAAAGAGCTATCCCACTCCTTTGCTCTCGACTCTGCTGTTTTGACTCGTCCCCACCTTTTTCCTTTCTGCTCCGATTGAATGGTTGAGAATGTCGTTGTACCAATCCCATGCACCTGCCCGCAACAATATGACATTATGACCATGGCGCTTTCTGTATCAAGCATTCTTTCACGCGGGATTCATTGGCTTACAAAGACAGTGGGTATAATCGTACAGGTATACATGATTCGGTGCTACTCCGGGTCGACATCTCCCATCGTCTCGTCCACGATGGTGCTAATTGCCAAAAGCGCCCCCAGAAGATTAGGCGCGCACCTCTGGTTGACCGCGAGCTGACTTTGCGCTTTCCGGAGTTCTTGTTCTAGCAGTTGAGCTCGATGCTTGTGCAGTTCTGCATCGTGCCGGGCAGATTGTAGCTCTGCAGTCAGACGGGCGTTCTCGTCCCTCAGCCTGAGCCAAGACCCGCCGAACCCTGCGCCGTCCTGGATGGGCACCGGGTTCAGTCGTGGTGTGTCCGATTGAGTCAAGACAGGCGACGACGGGTACTCGACCAGAGGTTGAGTTGGCTGTACCGAGTCGCATTCCATCGCATCTTCTTCATCCTCTGAGTCCGAGTCTGGGTAGAAGAGTCGAAGATCCTCGTCGTCGTCGTCGCTGTCGGTTCCGGCTTCTTGACTCTCTTCTCGCGTAGTGGGTTCGCAGGCTTCCGGTTGTGGCGAGGGCGAAGTGATGCTTTGAGGTGCAGGTGAGGGGGTAGTGACGGCTGTCGAGCTTGGTGAGTCCGACGAGGATGCTGATGAGGAGGGTGCAGGAGATAGAGCAGCGAGAGCGGGTGATTCGGGCGTTGCTGGACTCGAGTGGGTCGATGCGCGCGCGAGTGGTGTGGCGCCCGGTAACGGTACGGTCAGGTCCTTCCTCAACTTATGCCTACAACCATCGCGTCTGTTCAGCATACAGACCCTGCAGCCTATCAATCACGAGCACTTACAGAACAACACTCTCAACACCAACCCCCCTCATCTTCTCCACCCCCTCTCTCCCATTCAACGCCCTAACCTTGCCCACTAACACACTCATAAAGTCGCTATCGGCCCACGTATGCCATACCGCCTCTACCACACCCTCTACATCCTGCGAGGGGTGTAGGTTCTTTTGAGAGGGTGGCGGGAGACCGAGGGTGCGGAGGTCGGAGGCGTATTGGGTTGGGCTTGATGGGAGAGGGGAGGTGTAGGTGATTGTTGCGTGTAGACGGAGAGGGAGGCATGTTGAGTGGTGGTGGTGGTGTTCGCGGGCGCGCTGCATCGTTGTATCGAGTGTGAGTAGGAGAGTACGGGGCGGATTCGAAAGCACCGCATCCCAACGTAGGACCTCTGTATTTAAGTCGGACACCGAGCGTGGTCCGAGCATGGACCACGGGCCATTGTTTGATCGACCCGGGCCATGGGCCATAGCCCGGACAGAAATAACCGAAACAAAAGCGATGATTACGAACATTAGCCATCCGGAACGGTCGTGTTCATTGTCGTAGGGCGGGACGTGGTCTGAGTCCGAGTCTGAGCATCGTCGTATGTGGTTCGGAGGAGGTGAGACAAGTACCTGGCTGAAGAGAAGGGCCATATCACGATCTTAGCCGTGAGCTGTGGCTATCTGCCAAGCTTACACATTATAGCCGTCGGCTAATAGCCATGGCTAACATTCGACAGTATACAGTTCTCGTCGTACTTGACAAGGCACCAGCCTGAGAGTCGCCTGCAGCCGCGGCCTCAGGTCAGAAACGCTGACGGTTAGTAAGATATGTGCGACAACATCTCGCGGACTAGTACGGGCTACTTTCAGCAGCCCGCGTTCGGAGGGCTTCTTATGGACGCTGTAGGCTTCTAGGATGGAAGGCGTTGACGCAAACCTGACACCTGAATGGAAGCAAACGCTCTCGGGCCGGTAACAGTTCATACTGGCAGTTAATGCACTATTCATTGCATCAGGCTTCCCGCTAGCGGGCGACTTCGACTTGAGGCCTATGCCAGTGACAGTGAACAGCATGAAGTATTGTGATGCATGGCGCCGGCGCACATCCCGACGACGCCCGAGCCGAGGACGTGATGGAGGTCGGGAGAAGGATTCGAACGAGAACGTGACGCGCGCGTTATTTGTGTTTGCGGGTCCGTGTTTGGCGTGTCGGTAGCAACGGGCCCAAGCAACTTGGACTGATACCCTTTCGTGCGTCTCGTGCCCGTGTTCTGGTACCTACGCGCGCGCCTCTTTCCGGACGAGCCATTTCACGACGTGACATACCCGGGTCCTCATCTCGTTCTTTCTTTCCCCCCTTTTTCTCTCGAACTTCCATCATCGCCGCGTGGCCTTTCTAAGCCTCGAGGCGGACGTCCTGCGCACCCGAGTCGAGCACGGTATCGGTACACGCGAAGAGCTTGCAGAGCTTTCATGAGCGCCGCCGCCGCGTCCTCCAGCCAACAGCCGCCCTCATCGGGCGCCCACCCCTCGCTCCAGAATAACGATGAGAAGAATAGGTGAGATCACCGGGTGGCTCGTGTCCAATATATATTAAACATTATATATTATTGCAGCGTGGTCATCAAGGTCGGCATGGTGGGCGACTCGCAGATCGGCAAGACAAGCTTGATGGTCAAGTACGTCGAGGGCTCGTTCGACGAGGACTACATCCAGACGCTGGGCGTCAACTTTATGGAGAAGACGATCTCCGTAAGACGGACGACGATCACGTTCTCAATATGGGACCTCGGCGGCCAGCGCGAGTTTGTGAACATGTTGCCGCTCGTTTGTAATGACGCCGTGGCTATACTCTTCATGTTCGACTTGTCGAGGAAGAGCACGCTTAATAGTGTCAAGGAGTGGTATAGGCAGGCGAGGGGGTTCAATAAGGTGCGTGGCGCGCGCGATGCTCCATCAGTCATATGGTCTTACTCAACGACGGTTGTGATGTGTAGACGGCCATCCCGTTTCTCATCGGTACCAAGTTCGATACCTTTGCCACCTTCCCGCGAGACGAACAGGAGGAGATCACGAAGCAGGCGAAACGATTCGCGAAAGCGATGCACGCCTCGCTCGTCTTCTGTAGCACGTCAGCAAGCATCAACGTGCAGAAGATATTCAAGATCGTGCTGGCGAAAGCTTTTGACTTGAAATGCGTCATCCCGGAGATCGAGGGCGTGGGCGAGCCTGTGTTGATATATGTGGATGTGTGAGCGGGCCGAGGACACGGGAGGTGGGAATATCGGGATTAGGATTATGGGGAAGGCCGAGGATGGAGGGAGATGCGGGAGGGGTGGGGAGGATGAGACGGATGCGGACGGGTGGATAGAGTCGAAGGTGCGTTGATGGTTTGATGCCGGCGGCAGGCGCTTATATGTGGTTGGTGGCAGTCTACGAGATCTGTACGTCGCGCCGCCAAAAACAAAGCCCTCAATTACCCCTTCAATTGTATCCCCTTCATCCGCCTTTCACCTCTACACACAAACATCCCTTTGGACTCTTCCCACCTCAGTCAAACTCGGCCCGCCACGGACCCGCCTCGTCGTCGTTGCTCTTCCATGCTGCATATCTATCCCGTCGTTGTCTTGCCTTGCACCTCGTATCCTCTCCTCGTCTCCGGTTCTCCAATCCCCACCAGCTACGGATCCGTGTTTCCTGTTCCATCATCATATACTTCCTCGTTTACCCCCATCCTCCTCCCTTCCAGCCTTTCTCGTCGTAAGAATTTGAATTGAAACAGCATACCACACTCATTTCCCTCCCTAATTCCCACCACTCTGATCTGGTCCCCCCAAGGTCTTACCCATCCTCACCCTCAGCCTTGAATCCTCGTCTTGAGTACCCCTGGGTTGCTCCTCGTTCCCCTCTTCCTTTTGCTGTAGATACGGCGTGTCGCTTGCCCAAATCGTACCGTTGTACTTGTGACCGTTGCCGATTGAACCTCTATGCAGATTTGATACCAGAACTGAAGTATGCATTGCTCGTACGTGTGAGATTTACATGTAAGGAGCATCACGGACAAGTGCGGGCTCAACATGACACATCACTGGCTCGACCAATAGGCGCTGAGGGTAAAGCCTCAGGAGGAGCTACACACTATCAGAACTCTACTCGTCGTGAACATCGACCTGCTTCTCCACTCCTCTCCCTTCTATAATCCCATTGCCGTCCTTGTCGATGAACAGCTTCTGGCCGGGCAAAATCGACTGAAAGCGTCGACGACAACCCTCGTGCAAGTATACCACGGAAGCTTCGCCGATTTCTCTCCACACGACCACAGATAGTATGACGTCATCTAATAATACTTGAAGCACTTCAGCACTGTGAGTCAGTACAGATGCCGAAGGTGCGTACGAATCTTGGGAGGGGGCTCATTATTGGTTGGTCTCTCCGGCTGAGACCTTCGCTTCGTTTTGCCACTTGTAAGCACCATGAAGTGCATGCCGGGCTCAACGACTGAGGTTTTGCCATTGAAAGAAACGGAGGCACCGCTCACATCGACGTCGATGCAATACATCCCTTGGATTATGCTTTCGGACACAGGAGATCAGGAGGCAACGATGAGGTAAGGCAAATCGACTTGCCGTTGTCCATCTGACATCGTGACTGTGCAGACGCGGGACTTGAGTGGTGCTGAGAGTCAAGAGTAGTGGAAAGGGACCACATATATAGTCTCGGTATCTCCTTGTTTCCTGAAGTGTCTGTAGAAGCAGTTGTTCCAGCGTTCAGTATCGATCTGTAGCTTTGACACACGACACAATGCAGTGGGCAATCTGTATCACGGCGCTGGAGCCTTCACCTTGTTACGCCGGTTAATGCTCGAAGAGCTCGCTCAAACGAGACAAGGAACTGCATAAAAGGCTAGCTAGACCTCGTGTAGCTTTGAACAGCGAGAGTGCGCCAAAGCAGCCGTAATTGAAGCGTCTTGTACTCTGCCTTTATCGTGGACGTCAATGCTACCACCGCACTGCTAGCTTATCACCTAGATCGTACACATTGTTGAGACCTAGTAACCACTTCTGTCATGACATGCTATACTGTTTTGTTTGCCGTGAAGATTGCTGACAAGAATGCCGAAGATGGTGGCGTAAGACAACCAGAACGCCGTCAAGGAAGCAGACCGGCCCGTGCCAGATCGTGGGAGCCGCACTCCCTTCCGGTCGCCGCGCGGTGGCGACTGGTCTTCGCGGCGTCAAGCTTTCCGTCATGCACACAACTTCAATGATAACTCAATTCTACAGGTGCAACAGTACCGTGCGATAACTACGAGTTCATCTACACAGCCAGCATTCCCTTGGCGTAAGCATCTGCGAGAGTCTTCTCATACACCGCGTCTGTGACTACGAACGAGTTCAACGCAGCCACAACGAGCTTCGCACCAAATTCGATATCGGCGCGACGTTCCTCAGGGTCTCCGGCAAGGAACATAAGGAAGTCGATATTGTTGAGACTGAATCGTTTGCGTGCGTGGTGGACACGGTGACGCTGCTCAACGAAGTTGGCCGCCGGAATGAGGCTGTCTTTGACGTCGAGGGCCTTGTTGAGGAGGAAGTGGCGGACAGACCACGGCGTGATGACGTCCTTGAGTGATTCGCGGTCAAAGCTTGTAGGCTGTTTGAAGACGGGCCAGAGAAGGGCACCGGGTCCTAAGTTTCCGACCAATTCATACCTGAGCCACGCTTCTCTGACGGCGTGCCCTGCGTATGAGTACCATGATGTCAGCGGGCATCGCTGATGAAATGATGTGAGGGTGCTTACCGTCCTCACGCCTCGGCGTAAGCCAGTAGCAGTTGGCGTTGTGCACTCGCGCGTCAGCCAGCGCGGGGGGGACAGCTCCTTCGAGTTGCATACGCTCGACGAGAATAGAGGAGTCGCTGTTGAGGATGATCCTGAACCCGGGAGGAACGCGGATACGCTGGCGACCAGCCAAAGGCATGAACGTCATGTGAGCCACGGGGAAGGCAGCGCCGGGTTCTTGAACGAGTTTGATAGAGATCATGACCTCTGAGCATACATGAGATCGAGAGTAACGTTTTCAAGGCGGAGAGATGTGCGTACCGTCATCCACGGCGCTGTCGACGTCCGTCGTCAGACAGTCTTTCTGAAGACTCCTGTAACGATCGAAGCGTTGTCCGACAAAGATTTTTTTGGTCTTGGGCGCGGAAAGGTTCCACGTATAGACTACATGCGTAAGGTCCACTGTCATGGTCGCAATGGTTAAGCTGTACTTTGGTGTCAGCGTAAGACTGAGAAACAGGCGATAGGGACTTACTCTATCAGCGGAGCCATGATGAGAGAGTCGGGGTGAGGAAAGGGGTTTCTTGTGCAGGGTCAGCGAAGAGCTTTGGCTGCACTCGTTATATACAGTCTACGCCTGAACAACCACAGATGCGGGCCGGGCCAGCGGCGTGGTTAGCCTCGATGATCGTCGGTGGTTCGGCCACGGCATTTCGCAATTGCGCGAGATCATCGTAGAAGAGTAGAATGGCGGAATAGGGAACAACGGGCAGCTAAAGGGCACTTCAAGCAGGGAAGACCTGGTAGGTTTTGTCTCAATTCGGTCACCACTGATAGCATCTTGTGATCCAATGAGACCAGCAAGCAACTGAAACGCTCGACGGAAGGGGGTTCTGATCTTGGAATCTCGATTTGTGTGCAATGACCGTAAGATTGGAGTGAGGTCAGAGCTGGTGGTTGTGGTTGAAGCAAGCCGGAGAGGTTGCATCAGCGCGGCAGCCGGGGCCGAACTCGTGGGAACGCCCTCGGCGCCTCAAGCCGAATTCGTAACTTGCTGTTCACCTTCGTGCACGTCTGCCTGTCGTGGCGACCATGCCAATGACATAGCCTGGCTCCCCACACTCTAGCTGTGAGGATAAGATGCCCATCTCGTACTCTCTTTGACGTCACTGCGTTGACGCGCAGAGGCGAACCGGTTTCGGCCGGGTAGGCGTGCTAGTCGAACCCACGCCCGAGGTTAGCCTATACAACTCTCCAGCGTACTTGGAATACGAATAGACCTTCCGAATCATCCGCAAGGAAAGGAGACTTGGAACGACGATCCTGTACTGAGCCTGTAGTAGGCGTCGACAGACGACCCTGAACCGGCGACGGCGACGCCGCCCACCGCTTCCGGTCCGAGCAACGACGTCTGGAGCGCCGACCTTACACAGGCGCCTCAGCATCTCGATGATCCAATACCTTTTCAGCGTGATGCTGAGTACTTTCATGTGACAAGCCTTCCGACTCCTGATTGATTGAAGCTTGCAATTGAATGCGGGTGCTCCCAGGACCAGCCACGGATTAGGTTCGTGCTAGGTCGGTGGCATCGATTGAGGTGGCATGTGGTTGATAATGAGGCAGCGGAGGCATGATGATATGATGATGGTACACAAGTATCAAGTTGATCGTCATCATTTACAAGTTGCGCGTACGTACAAGGCTACACCAGCGAGCACAAACTATCTTGAGAGGCTCAAGACGAAAGCTGATCTTGGAAGGTCTTCCAATCAATAGCAATCTCATGTTTCCTCCCCATATTCAGAACGCCATAGGCTTTCGATGTATCAGTTCCACAGTCAACCAGTCAAGCAAACACGTAGGCACACTCACTTGGGTCGGTGGTAGCCGAGGGAAGCCGAACGTCACCGGGGACCGAGGAGCCTTCAGTATGACCGTCACCAATACCGGCATGCTCTGGAACACGCTTGACCAATACTGTCACATCATCCTTCATCACATTGACTTCGACCAGTAGCTCATGTCCTGCGGGCAAGTGAGCAATCAGGTGACCGATGTCTTGCTTGAAGGTGAACGTCGCGAGGGGCGGTGAACAGCTATCGTCAAAGGTGACTGACAGTAGCACGTCTTGTGTGTCGTGTCATCAGTACATGACTGGGCGGAGAGGTCGATACCAGAGAACATACCATTCGAGTCATTCATGTCATTGCTCTCTGCGTCCACAGGGTTATTCTCTGAGATGAGCTCTACGTCCCCATTCCCGAATGCGATGCATCGGAGGTGTGGGCCCATCTTGTAGATCCGCTTATTTATATCGATCTCGACGTGCGTGGGGCACACTGTGAACTTCTTGGATCTGGTGCATGCCTACATCAGTACTCTTTCAGGAGCAAATGAGGCCGGTCAATTGGACCGTACAGGATCAAGTCAGACTCGGACATGTTGGTGAAGGTAGCCATGATAGAGCAAGCGAGATCGAGGTAAAGATGCCCTATGAGGATATGAGCGATATCCTAGTCGGCTTATATACACGTAGAGAGGTATTGTCAATGCTGGCTCTTGTTCGGAGCTGTATTGAGTGCCTCTTGTTGTGCACGGTAACCAGGCGGGTGCTGTGAACAAACGAAGCAGCACGCAGAACAACGGGGCACACGAGGCGTGCTATAGCATAACTGCAGAACTTCAGACACAATGCACAATGGGTTCGTTGCAGAGAGCGACGAGAACAGACTTGTAGTGGCCGCGCAGCCGTAGTTGTTTCTCGTGGCCACGAGGCAGAGAATACTCTTGTCTAGGCGCGGTAGGCCAGTCGTTGTGTCGGGCAATTCCATGCTTGGGTACCGTTGAAGAAGGATCCTGCGCTCAACTAGCAGAATAGAGATAGTGAAACGCGAGAGTCTTGTATATCATTCTGGCGTGTGGCAGTATAGCCTGTTCTATAGCCTGTTCGATGGCCTGGGTGCTCGTGAGCGCGTGAACATGGTGGTTGAGAAACAAGGAGCGGTCGGAGTTCGGCCCGAACAGCGAGCGCTTGCTCGGCTGATGTCGCACGCAGTCAAAGGACTGCTGTATGCGTGGACTGTACACCGGTGGGTCGCCCTCAGGGACTGTGACCCGCCAAAGGGCTTGCATATCGTAGACGAGGTGGACTGCGTGTAGTTCCTAAGCAGCACTAAGCGCACTACTGCAGCACGCACTAGTCCATCCTCGCTAGTAAAGGGTGTAGAACAGAGGGACCTCGTGGGTATACTCATACTACTTGTCTACTGTATACAATAAAAGGTATCACTACTTCCATACGCGAAAGAGTCGGTCGCACAGCATCATGAGCCAGATTCGCGATGGCGGATGTGTTGAAGGCGCGTTTCAGTATACAGGTCTATGCGGTTGCAAAAAAAAAGTAGCCCCAAACGGTAGAGGCGGTGCACCTCTACACGCATGGGCTGTACACAGTCAAGGATCTGCGTGGTGGTAATGTGCATGCTCGACAACATGGTTCTCTGGCAGTAAGTGTTAGTATCAGTCCTCGAGCCTGCTGCCATCGTAAGACATGACATACCGTGAAAGCACTGTGAGCTTGGTCAAGCCGCTTCGAAAGGTCCTGTATCTGTGCCGAATCCCGCTTCGCACGGAGAAAGCGAAGCGCCAACGAGCGCTTCTTGACAACCATTTCCAAGTCCGTGCAGATGGCGCTCAGGTGTCTTATGAAACCAGTTAGATGCTTTACAGGAAGCTGTGAGAACAATCTTACTGGGCAAGGGCTTCTATAGCGGCCTTGTGCGCGGGCGAGAGCGCAGTAACGTCGGGAATGGCGCGCACCAGCGATTCCGCGAATGAGCCGATCTGTGCGTATATGGCGCGGACTTGATCTTTGTTGTCGGAGATGAGCTAGGCAAACGTAGTGAGCCATACAGTTCAAGACTTAAAATAAGTGCGAAACCGGCTTACCTCGGCTCGCACCACGAAGAAGCGCAGTCCGCCGACGACGCTCTTGAGCGGCGGGAATACATCCGAGGATTCGGAGAGGGCGTCGAGACTGAGCAGGAGGACGTCCTTCGCCGTTCTGCGCGCGCGGCTCGGGCGTTTGGATTTGAAGCGCAGCACCCTTGCTTTACGATTGGCGGTGGTAGGCGGCGCGTCGAGGGTCGCCACCGTAGCAGTTGAGCCCGAGGCCAGCACAAGAACATGCGGTTCCTCGGGTGCAGGGAGAGCAGCTTCAGCAGGCGAAGTGCGTGCTTTGCGATGGATTATGAAGAGCGGGGGCGGCACGACGCGAGCGACCGCGCGGAGTAGACGGAGAGCCCTGGGCATTCTGACGATGGCGTAGAGAGACTGGGCGTGTTGTGAAGGAGGGAGACAGGGTGTGCCGATGGTAGATCCAGGACCGTACAGAGCGTATGCGGTGTTGCTGTACTATCTGGCTAGGACGACGGGTGTAGGCCAGTCTGTCCTCATTCGGGCATCGCGTGCTCGGGCGTATTCGTAGCAGGTGATAGTCTTTCCTGCGAGAATAGCGTCGTGCGTGAGGTTGAACGCTGCTACCCGATGTTCGATGGCCTGCTGCGTGACTTGAAGGCTTGGGCGTAGTAATGGTGAGATGAGGAACATCTGAAGACTGAAACTCCCTCGGGTGGCGGACGACATCCCGCACTAGCCATTCTGCCATCACCCGGTCTTTGTTACTGCCATTGAGGTTGTGCTTAATTGGAGAGGAGACGACATTGTCTCGACGGCAGAAGGGAAAATAGGAAACCAGGCGCGCGTCTACCGTCTACCCATGACGCGTCGGGACTCCGCGCAACGGTCAGACGCAATCTCACTGGCTGAGTGGCATAGAGGTAGACAGAGGAGATGGGTAGGACAAGCGTTATTAGTTCGAGCGGCTCTTTCGGTGTATGTATGCAGCTCAGCAGAGCCAAAGACATGGTGTCAGGAAACAAAGTGCGGGGCGCGACGATGACGCGCCAAACCGAACTCGAACGATGCGTGACCGTGACGCGGCTGCAGTAGCGCGATCAGCACTCCTGCCTTGTTCCCCAGCGACGACGACGACGACACCAAGCGACCGGTCGTCTCGCTTTCTACTGCTTATCACGACTCGGGTTTCTCAGCGCGCTACATCGCGCCTCGATCTCGAGTGGCATCGCGCCCAACGACTCGCGCGCGCATCTCGACTGCCATACTCGGACATCTCCGTCCACGCGCCTCAGCCTCAACATCAATATCAACATCTAACGACCTCTACCACACGACGCCCCGACGATGCCCGCCCCCCGGCCCTCGCAGAACGCAGAAGCCGCGCGGGCTGCGGCCGCCCAAGCCGAGTTCAACGAGAAGAAATGGGTGTGGGTGCCCGACGAGAAAGAGGGCTACCTCGCGGGCTGGGTGGTGAAAGAGGAGGACGACTTCGGGGACGTGGTCATGGCCGCGGGCGGCGACATCCGGCGGCTACCACTCTACGCGCTGAGCAAGATGAACCCGCCCAAGTTCGACCGGGTGGAGGACATCGCGGACCTGACGTTCCTGAACGAAGCGAGTGTGGTGCACAATTTAAGGCTACGCTACGGCTCGGGCGCGATATACACGTACTCGGGGCTGTTCCTGGTGGCGATCAACCCGTACCAGGCGCTCCCGCTGTACAGCGACTCGATCATCGCGCAGTACCGCGGCCGGCGGCGCGACGAGAATCCGCCGCACATATTCGCGATCGCCGAGCGCGCATGGGTGTCCATGGGCGACGAGCGGGAGAACCAGTCCATCCTCATCACCGGCGAATCTGGGGCGGGCAAGACGGAGAGCACGAAGAAGGTCATCCAGTATCTCGCCGCGATCGCCACGGACACGCACCCGCCGCCCGGCCACGCGCTCGAGGCGTCCGCGACCGGCGCATCGACGTCCTCCGCGTCCAGATTCGGACACGGGCACAGCCAGAGCGTGACGAGCGCGATAATGCCCGTCGCAGGCCTCCCGCGCAACCCGTCCTTCCGCTCGCACAAGCCCACCCAGTCCATGGCCCTCACCCACTCCACCGGAGTCCAATCAAACGCGAAAGCGCGCCTGGGCCTGCTCGAGCGCCAGATCCTGCAGGCCAACCCCATCCTCGAGTCCTTCGGCAACGCCCAAACACAACGGAACAACAACTCTAGTCGCTTCGGCAAGTTCGTGCGCATCAGCTTCGCGCCGGACGGGAGCATCGCGGGCGCGAACATCGACTGGTATTTGCTCGAGAAGAGCAGGGTCGTTGGAAGGGCGGAGGCGGAGCGGAGCTTTCATGTGTTTTATCAGCTGCTGGAGGGCGCTGATCGGGAGCTGAGGAGGAGTTTGTTGCTTGAGGGTGGCGTGGAGGATTATGAGTATTTGAATAAGAGCCGGAGGGAGGTCGATGGGATTAACGATTATGAGGAGTGGGTCGCGCTCAAGGTACATCCCCCTCCCCTCCTCTCTCCAATCCACAATATACAATGCTAATGCGCAAATGGTAGAACGCGCTAGACACGGTCGGCTTCTCGCCCGCCGAGCAACTCGACTTCTTCCGCATCGTCGCCGCCATCCTGCACATCGGCAACATCGCCATCACATCCACGCGCTCCGACGACGCGCTCATGCCCGACCCGGGCCAGGCCGAGCGCGTGTGCCACCTCCTGGGCCTCCCCGTCGCCGAGTTCCAGCGCGCCGTCCTGCGCCCGCGCGTGCTGGCCGGGCGCGAGTGGGTCACGCAGGCGCGGACGGGGCAGCAGGCGCTGGACGAGCTTGCGGCTATGGCGAAGACGCTGTATGAGCGGAGCTTTGGCGCGCTGGTGGAGAGGATTAATCGGGCGCTCGATAGGCCCGCTGCGAAGGCGAATTTTATCGGGGTGTTGGATATTGCTGGGTTCGAGATCTTCGACCTTAACGGGTGCGCCACCCTCCCTCCCTCTCTACTTCTGCGTTTAAAGGGATAGAATGCTGATTGAGCGTGTGGGCAGGTACGAGCAGCTGCTGATCAACTACACGAACGAAAAGCTGCAGCAGTTCTTCAACCACCACATGTTCGTGCTCGAGCAGGAGGAGTACGCGCGCGAGGGCATCGAGTGGGACTACGTCAACTTCGGGCTCGATCTGCAGCCCACGATCGACCTCATCGAGGGCCAGAGCGTGCCAGCTATCGGCGTGCTCAGTCTGCTCGACGAGGAGTGCATCATGCCCAAGGCGAACGACGGGACGTTCACGGCGAAGTTGCACGCCATTTGGGCTGCGGACGGCGGCGCAGGACAAGGCGGGGAGGAACACCCGGGGAGGGAGAAGTACGAGCCGTCGCGCTTCGCGCAGGGCTTCCTCGTGCACCACTACGCGGGCAAAGTCGAGTACTCGACCGACGGCTGGCTCGAGAAGAACAAGGACCCCCTGAACGACAACCTCACGCGCGTCCTCGCCTCGTCCGCCTCCCCCTCCGTCAAATCGCTCTTCGCCGACTTCTCCCCTGACTCCTCCTCTGCGGTGGGCGCGGCCGCGATGACGTTCGGGAAGAAGCGCGCGGTGAAGAAGGGCGCGTTCCGGACTGTCGGGCAGCGGCACAAGGAGCAGTTGTCGAGTCTGATGAGCACGCTCTACGCGACGCAGCCGCACTTCGTGCGCTGCATCGTCCCGAACGCCCTTAAACGCCCCGGGCGCATCGCCGCGCCGCTCGTGCTCGACCAGCTCCGGTGCAACGGCGTGCTCGAGGGCATCCGCATCGCGCGCCTCGGCTACCCGAACCGGCTCCCCTTCGTCGAGTTCCGCGCGAGATATGAGGTGCTGGTGCCCGGCGCCGTGCCGCGGGGGTATATGGACGGGCGCAAGGCGGCGCTGAGGATGGTTGGCGCGGAGGGCGGGCTGGAGCTGGATGGAGCCGTGTATAGGATTGGCACGAGCAAGATCTTTTTTAAGGCGGGCGTGCTGGCGGAGCTGGAGGAGAGGCGGGACGCGCTGCTTTTTGATGTGTTTAGTCGGATGCAGGCGGCGGCGAGGCGGTATAGCGCGCGGAGGCAGATGAAGAAGGTATATCCGCGCTCCCCATCTCCCGCTAGGACTCGGAAGAGCTGACGGCAAGTAGATATTGAACCGCGCGATGGCGACGCGCACGATCCAGCGCAACGCGCGCATCTACGCGTCATTGCGCGACTGGCCGTGGTGGCGCCTCTACACGAAAGTGCGCCCGCTCCTCACAGCGACGCGCTCGGACGAGGAGCTCCTGCGCAAAGAGCACGAGCTTGCCTTAGCCCGCGAACGCGCCGAGCGCGACGCGAAGGAGAAGGACGCGATGGACGCGCTGCGGATGCGGCTCGAGAGTGAGAAGCGGCGCGCGGACGAGGCGCTGGTGCGGGAGCGCGCGCTGGGGCTTGATAAGGATGGCTTGTTGGAGCGGAGCAAGAAGCGCGAGGCGGAGCTCGAGGAGGAGGTCGCGGCGCTCGAGGCTGACCTCGACGCGCGCGACGCGCAGCTCGATCGCGCGCTGGCGATTCAGAGGGAGAGCGAGGAGAAGCACAGGGTGTTGCAGGCGGCGTTCGACGAGGCGGCCGAGCACCTCGTGCGGCTCGAGGCCGAGCAGAGGGAGTGGGGCGAGAGGGAGGGCGTGTTGGCGCAGCAGCTGGCGGAGGCGGATAGGGAGCTTGAGGGGCTGGAGGGGGAGAGGGAGCAGTTGGAGAAGGAGAGGAGTGATTTGAGGAGGCTGGTGGAGCAGAGCGGGGAGGATCTGGGGAGGGCGAGGGAGAGGATGGAGGGGGTTGTGGCGGAGCTTGAGGGGAGGTTGGCGAATGAGACGCGCAGCAAGTGAGTGTTACGAGGATAGTGTGTTTGGGAGATGGTGTGTGCTGATGCGATTGGATAGGGACGCGCTGAAGAGCAAGGCGGACGCGCATGAGCTGGACGCAAGGCAGGCGCGCGAACAGCTCGCCGAGCTCACGCGTACGGCGACGGACTACGCCGACATGATCAAGGCGCGCGAATCCGACCTGTCCCGCCTGCGGTCCGAGCTCGACGCATCGAAGTCAGAACGCAACCGCCTGTCCAAAGAGATCGCGAGCCTCGAAGGCCGCATCGCGACCTTATCAGCCGAAGTCGACTCGCTGCGCTCGTCGGACGAGCGGCACAGCGCGACGCAGGCGCGGCTGCAGGGCGAGCTGGACGAGCTGCGGATGCTGTTGCAGGCGAAGACGAGCGAGGAGAGCGCGCAGAGGGAGGTGCAGAAGCGGACGACGGAGGAGCTGCAGGAGCTGAGGGCTCAGGTCGCCGAGCTGCAGAGTCAGCTGGACGAAGCGCGGATCGCGGCGACGGATGCGCAGGCGCGGTTGAAGGTCGAGCTTGATACGGCGACGCGCGAGCATGCGTCGTTGCTGCAGAGCCACCGGTCGCTTTCGGACCGCGCGCAGGCGTTGGACGCTAGGCTCAAGGCTTCTGAGGCGCAGCTCTCCGAGGCTGAGAAGGCGAAGCGTGGTCTTGAGAGCGAGATGCAGGGCCTGAGGACGCGCCAGATCGACGTCGACACGCAGCTCGCGGAGGTCAGCAAGGCCAAGGGCGCGCTCGAGCGCCAGATCGCGGCGGCACACGCGAAAGCGCAGGATTTCGAGGACACGGCGCTACAGCTCGAGCGTGAGAAGAACGCCACGGACCGCGATCTCGAGCGCTTGAAGCAGCAATTGGAAGCGGAGAGCGCCAAACGCGCCGAGGCGGAGAAGAGGGCGTCGAGCCAGAAGCAGGAGCTCGTGCTGTTGAGGGACAAGAACGCGAAGCACGAGAAGGAGCTCAACAAGACGCTCACGGATCTGAAGAATAAGGAG